GGCAGCAGATCAATGTTTCAGGATAACGTCCTGATCAAATAATCAGCTTCTTTCATGCTTGAATATAAGTTTGTGCTTTTTCACAAGCTTGCAGTGTTTATAAAATTCAAACTATTTTCATTCATCATATCCAATTAAGGCAATTTTGTCACTTTCAGGGTATTTGCATATTTTGCACAAACCTGCCTCTCCCCTAAGGGTTACACGGCCAAATAATGTAGGCCTCCCAACAGAACAGGTTTAGGCAGAACAGTCCTGATTTTGGCGCAAAGTAACCTGATATTCAGAAGTTGAATATACAGAGAAAACACAAGGGAATAAGACAAAAGAGAATTGCTCTGAAACTGGAGAAAAAAGGGGAATTCACCAAAACCTTTTAAGAGAAATGTAAAATACGCTATATAGTATAGTCCTGATTTTGGCGTCTTTTCTGTCACAGCCCCCAGCTCTTCTGTCGGCGTGACCGCACATACCCAGAAGGGCCACGCCGACAGAGATGATTTGTACTTACCTGGGTCGCGGTGGATGGCCGCATGGTCCCCTCATGTTTTGTCCCAGCTGGTATCCTTGACCTTTGGCTTGTTTCGTCGATCTGTCTCTTTCTGTGTCCATGACCTCGGCTAGTATTTTGACCATTCTCTTTTTCGTTAAGTTCGGTCATTCTAAGGCCCGATATTGTCCTTTTATATGTTAAATAGTTCTGCGTGTTGGGTCATATAGTTTTCGTGACACTTGGTGTGGTTCCCTGGCCAGTCTGACCACAGCCAGCAAATAGTGATATCGATTTAGATGTATTATGGCTGAGATAAAGGCATGAGGACCATGCAGAGAGCACTTCAGCACTTTCCGAGTAGGACTGCCCATTTTGCCAAAGATTCTGTCTTTATAAAATACGCAGAAGAGACAGTCACTCTAACAAAAAGCAAATTACAACTGAAGCATATCCGATATTTCTTGTTAGCTTCTCTTTCTGCTTTTATGTAAGAGGCAGGAATAATTTTTTTCCCCCCTGGAAAACATGTATTTGGCATAATACATAAAAATGTATGATGCTGCGGAAGTTAGCTAAAATTAATTCTGTTATTATAACAAGAAGCCTATATTATTTTGCTCAGCTTGACTTTTAGAGCTTAAAGAGTTATTCCAAGCACCATGACCACTTCAGTGATTTGAAGTGGTCATGGTGCTTGCAGTCCCTATGTGCAGCATTTCTCTATGAAATTCTGCACATTCAGAGTTTAACCCCTTTACTGCTAGAGGTTTACCTCCACTTCCAGCAGCCTCATCGGGTGGCGTCAATAGATGAAACCAAAGTTCTAGGCTTGCTAACATCAATTCTGTGCAGAACAGGGATGTCGCTGAACTGAACGCATAACTGACTTTTTTGGAGCACTGACATGCCGATAAAGATGGGTTTATTTTCTAAACTCTGAACTCTGAATTGTGGCAAACCGAATCCAAGTGGCGCAATGTAGGAAAATTAATTTGGAAGAATCCACCACCTGCCCCAGCTATTCACAGTTTGACTCTCTTTGCACCTCCCCGCCCAAAAAAGTATCTTTATATAATGTTCATAAAGACTGTATTGGGCGTTCATTGAAAGTCAAAACAGATAAGACAAAGCAGAGACTACTTTGTGTTTTAATGGTAAATGTCTAACTTGACAAATGGCGCAAGTACTGCGTCAAGACTTGTTACTTCCTCTGCTGGTGATGTCTGTGGGAATAAATACAACAATCCGAATCTGCTCAACCAATGTGCTGTAACAAAATAACCTGTAATCCGTCCACATACCTCGACACGGTTATTCAGTAAAGTGTGAATTAATAGGAATTTAATATCAAATTTTAGGCCGAAAATTTATTACAGAACTGGAAAAATTATCTAAGTCAGCTATGCTTCTATTTTGGCCTAGAATGTGAAATACTCTTTGATTTCTTCGTAAATCAAACTTTAATGAATAACTCTTTGGTTACAGTTTAGAAACATTATAGAAACAATGGCAGAGTTTATTGGCTGATAAATAAAAGTAAATTATACGTTTCAATTCTCTTTTAAACTTCCTCGTGCACTGGCTGACTGCCAGGAATTGCGTGCTCCATTCCCAATGCATCCTCTGTACGGGTGTCTGCATATTCTGCGCATCTAGCTGTCTACAGACAAATAAGGAAGTGAAATCCATATTATATGAGTACATTCATACATAGTTACAGGTAGTAAAATACAACAATGAATGCAGAGCCTTAGGCAATAGCAGAGAGGTCACGCTCAGAGAACTGCAAGTCATGTGAAAATATGAGGAAGTAGAAAATCAGAGTAAAGGAGGAGTTGGCTTGGCATTTCGTCCCCAGTAGGGGTGGTAATCTTGTTAGAAAATTAGAGGGACGCAGAACCAGTGGGCAGACGCCATATTATTTGGAGCAGTTCTTAGGGTGGTTATGGTAGCTGTAAGGCAGCTCCTTTTAACCAACGTAAAACTTCACATGAAAATATAAAAAACATGGCAAAGGCAAATAGCTGTATTAATATAGAAACACATATAAATTATACACGTTCAGCCCACATTTTATCACCTACAGAAAGCTGAGTCTTTTTTACACATCATTAGTATATAGAATTATCAGACAAATACTGTATGGGCGCCTATATATTTCACACATATGTGTTATGCTCTACACATGATGATTTCACTTCCCGTAATGCATGGTTTGTGATGCTATTTGTGCACTATATGATGTAAGGCACAGCTTGTATGATGTCATTTATTACGTAGGCCCCTAATCTCATGTCAGCAGCAGAGAACATACTGAGAGCCAGTATTAGTGGGAATTGCGCTCCTAGAAAGCAGCTGCTCTCATTTTAATTGAAAAGACGATATGAAATGGTGGGAGAAGAGCGTGATTCAGCCTTCTCAGCTCCTCTGCCAGCATATCATTATCAGGAAAGGGATGGATAAATGGCTGTACCTGCAAATAGCAACTACTGCCTGGGAGTGTAACTCCCACTACCTGCAGTCTGCTGATCAGTACCAAATCTCATAGTAGAACACATTGGCAGATTTTTGAGACAGTCTGTCCCTATGTATTAATATAGATTATACAGGGTGTACCAAAGCTAGGTATACAGTTGAATTAATACAATTCATCACAACAGATTATATGGACACACAACACATTGAGGTCCATTTCAGGCATTTAAATGTCAGTGTGGCAGTTGTGAAGAATAGTGGAGGGCAGATAAAAAAATTTTTTTTCTTTCTGTGATGATTTTAATTGATTCAACTGTATACTTACTTTTGGGCCACCCTGTATATATATGGGTCCGTGTATTGATTAATATATAACCACTTACTCGTTTATCTTTATCTATCTACTAATATTTATCAATCAATATCTGTATGGCCATCTAAATCTATCTATAGAAGTCAGTCTGTCTATAATATAATATCCATTTGTTGTCTGTTTATAATGTAATGTCCCTCTGTCTATAATATAATGTCTGTCTGTTTGGTAAGCTCTATCTGTCTGTAACATAATGTATGTCTGTAATGTAATGTCTGTGGGTCTGTCTGTAATGTAATGTCCCTCTGTCTGTAATGTAATGTCTGTATGTCTGTCTGTAATATAATGTCTGTCTGTCTGGTAAGCTCTATCTGTTTGTAATGTAATGTCTGTCTGTAATATAATGTCTATCTGGTAAGATCTGGCTTTCTATATTGTAATGTCTGTCTGTCTGTAATATAATGTCTATGTTTGGTAAGCTCTATCTGTCTGTAATATAATGTCTGTCTGTCTCTAATATCTGTGTGTCTGTCTATCTGTAATAAAAAATGTCTGTCTGTCTGGTAAACTCTATCTTTCTGTAATGTAATGTCTGTGATATAATGTCTGTACTGTGATATCTGTGTCTCTCTATCTGTAATATAATGTCTGTAATATGTCCGTTTGTCTGTAATATAATGTCTGTCTGTAATATCTGTAATATGATGTCTGTCTGTAATATCTGTGTGTGTGTGTGTGTGTCTGTCTGTAATATGTCTGTCTGTAAGTGATATAATGTCTGTGTGTTTGCCTGCAATATAATGTCTGTGTGTCTGTCTGTAATATAATGTCTGTATTTGTGTCTGCCTGTAATATGTCTGTCTGTGTGTCTGTCTGTAATATGTCTGTCTATAATATAATGTCTTTCTGTCTGTGTGTCTGTCTGTAATATTATGTCTTTCTGTGTGTCTGCCTGTAATATGTCTGTCTGTAATATAATGTCTCTCTGTAATATGTCTGTCTGTAATATAATATCTGTGTGTCTGTCTGTTGTACAATGTCTGTCTGCCTGTAATATAATGTCTGTCTGTGTGTCTGCCTGTAATATAATATCTGTCTGTCTGTCTGTAATATAATGTCTGTCTGTCTGTAATATAATGTCTGTCTGTGTGTCTGTCTGTAATATAATGTCTGTCTGTGTGTCTGCCTGTAATATAATATCTGTGTGTCTGCCTGTAATATAATGTCTGTCTGTGTGTCTGTCTGTAATATAATGTCTGTCTGTGTGTCTGTCTGTTGTACAATGTCTGTCTGCCTGTAATATAATGTCTGTCTGTCTGCCTGTAATATAATATCTGTCTGTCTGTCTGTCTGTCTGTAATATAATGTCTGTCTGTGTCTGTGTCTGTGTGTGTGTCTGTCTGTGTGTGTATACTAAGCTCTATCTGTCTCATCCACACACTGAGCCTCTCACTGCCCCAAGCTGTCAGTCACTCGGCTAGCTCCTCCCCTTAGCCCCGCCCCCCGCCGTGTCGTCACACGCTCCATACTTGGTGATGGCTGAGAGGCCGCGCTGTGATTGGTTGCCGGGCAGAGCGGTGGGCGTGTCCTGACTCCGGTAGCCGCTGACCCGGATGTTCACTCCTAGGTCCTGAGGAAGTGGAGGAGCCGCCGGGCCTGCGGGGCAAAGAGACACCGAACCGGAGCGGAACCGGAGCGCGGCCCTCACCCACCGCAGCCATGGTAACCGGGGGCCCCTGGGAGCCACAGGGAACGTGACGTCACGGTTTGTGTCTGGTGACGTCACATGGCCCCTCACATTCCTCGTACGTCACCACACGGCCACTCACACTCACTAAACCGCCACTCACACTCACTGTGCCCGTCTAAACCGCCACTCACACTCACTGTGCCCGTCTAAACCGACACTCACTAAACCGCCACTCACACTCGCTGTGCCCGTCTAAACCGACACTCACTAAACCGCCACTCACACTCACTGTGCCCGTCTAAACCGCCACTCACACTCACTGCGCCCGCCTAAACAGCCACTCACACTCACTGTGCCCGTCTAAACCGACACTCACCAAACCGCCACTCACACTCACTGTGCCCGTCTAAACAGCCACTCACACTCACTGTGCCCGTCTAAACCGACACTCACTAAACCGCCACTCACACTCACTGTGCCCGTCTAAACCGCCACTCACACTCACTGTGCCCGTCTAAACCGACACTCACTAAACCGCCACTCACACTCACTGTGCCCGTCTAAGCCGCCACTCACACTCACTAAACCGCCACTCACACTCACTGCGCCCACCCAAACCGCCACTCACACTCACTGCGCCCACAAGCGCCACTGCTTCGCTGTGCCCGTCTAAACAGCCCACTCACTTTCATGTGCCCGTCTAAACAACCACTCACACTTTCGCTGTGCCCGTCAACCAGCCACTCCTCGCTGTGCCCGTCTAAACAGCCACTCACACTCGCTGTGCCCGTCTAAACAGCCACTCACACTCGCTGTGCCCGTCTATCTCCACTCACACTCGCTGTGCCCGTCTATCTCCACTCACACTCGCTGTGCCCGTCTATCTCCACTCACACTCGCTGTGCCCGTCTATCTCCACTCACTCGCTGTGCCCGTCTAAACAGCCACTCGCTGTGCCCGTCTAAACAGCCACTCACATTGACTGTGCCAGTCTAAACAACCACTCGCACTCACTGTATCAATTCACACAGCCACTCACATTCCTTGTATTCGTCTAAACAGCCGCTCACACTCACTGTGCCCACCTATCTCCACTCACGGTGCCAGTCTTAACAGCCACTCACACTCACTATGCCCATCTCTATGTATCAATCTACACACTAACTGTATCAATCTACACAGCCACTCCCACTCACTGTATCAATAGAAACAGCCACTCACTGTATCAATAGAAACAGCCACTCACTGTATCAATAGAAACAGCCACTCACTGTATCAATCTAAAAAGCCACTCACACTCACTATGCCCGTCTAAACAACCACTCACACCTACCGTGCCAGTCTAAACGGTAACTCACTGTGCCCACCTGTTGTCACTCACACTCACTGTGCCCACCTGTCGCCACTCACACTCGCTGTGCCCGTCTAAACAGCCACTCACACTCGCTGTGCCCGTCTAAACAGCCACTCACACTCGCTGTGCCCGTCTAAACAGCCACTCACACTCGCTGTGCCCGTCTATCTCCACTCACTCGCTGTGCCCGTCTAAACAGCCACTCGCTGTGCCCGTCTAAACAGCCACTCACATTGACTGTGCCAGTCTAAACAACCACTCACACTCACTGTATCAATTCACACAGCCACTCACATTCCTTGTATCCGTCTAAACAGCCGCTCACACTCACTGTGCCCACCTATCTCCACTCACGGTGCCAGTCTTAACAGCCACTCACACTCACTATGCCCATCTCTATGTATCAATCTACACACTAACTGTATCAATCTACACAGCCACTCCCACTCACTGTATCAATAGAAACAGCCACTCACTGTATCAATAGAAACAGCCACTCACTGTATCAATCTAAAAAGCCACTCACACTCACTATGCCCGTCTAAACAACCACTCACACCTACCGTGCCAGTCTAAACGGTAACTCACTGTGCCCACCTGTTGTCACTCACACTCACTGTGCCCACCTGTCGCCACTCACTCTCACTGTGTCAGTCTAAGCGGCCGCTCACACTCACTGTCAGGATTATTCACTAAACTCAGAATTTTTGCAGATTAGACCCAACTGGCAAAACTGAGGCAAAAATAACAAAGTTGTCACAGTGGCTGAGATAGACTTTTCTCATCTATTTTGCCTCTTTTTTGATTTAGTTTGCAAAAATGTTTAGTGAATAACCCTGTCAGTCTAAACGGCCCCTCTGTCCCCCCGGGTCAGTCTAAACGGCCCCTCTGTCCCCCCGGGTCAGTCTAAACGGCCCCTCTGTCCCCCCGGGTCAGTCTAAACGGCCCCTCTGTCCCCCCGGGTCAGTCTGAGCCGCCCTTCCTTTAGTTCATTTTTTGTTTTTTCTTCAATTAACCAGGATTGTGGTGAATTGTAAATGAAATTCCAGATTTTAATATAAATCCAAGCTATTTCCGCCTTCAATTTGCAAGTATTTTAATTCTAAGCTTAGTGAATAAACCCCTATGTTTTGCACTAATCCGTTCTTTTTCTGTAAAAACTCACTACATATTGCAGTTAAACATCTGTGTACTTCTCCTCTATATCGCTAATGTGACAGTAATTATGATGTACATGGCTGCTTAGTATTATGAATTATCTGTGTACCAGTTAATGACATATTACGTTGTCTAAAGCCCTTGTTTCGTTAGCATTGTCACAATAACATGAGTTAATTAATTTAGTAAATTTCATCAGGACCTGTGATCAATAGCTGATCTGGTATTTTCAGAAGCCCAGATAATATTAACAGATAAAATGAAAGATGTAAGCCCTGTCTGGCCTAATTTTAACGTAAGGCATATATTAAAGAGACACTTCACACACGTAAGGCACACAGCTTGTGTCTGGAGTCTGTCACATTTGTGACCGTTTAAAAGGTGCAGATTTTAATACAAATTTTCACTTTTATAATTGGGGGCAGAAACGCCTACCTGTTTATCAATCCAGAAAGCCAGGAAGGTTTTCTTTCACTTCTGTTAGCTGCACAGAGCTAAAGGAAGAGGCAGGTGTGCTAGAGCGAGCTTACCTTACTCCCTTTTCAATGAGCTGCGTTACAAGACGAGAGCTCTGCAGCTGGTTTTAGATCTATCCACTGCTTGCATTTTATCTTTGGGGGATATTTACAAAACTGTTACATTTAACACATTTCCAGTGCAATGTTCCTTTAAATGTTGCTTATATAATCACTGCTATAGGTTGCTTTATAAATAACTCCTAAATACTCATTCAGGATTGTGCATGAGGATTTGGGATTATTACGGTGTACCCAGTGTGGATTGCTTTCAGTGACTGTACATGAGGGTTAGTATCTGAAATGTAATATAGGACAAGTCTGTAACTTCAGTCTGAAATATGAAGCAGCTCAACTGTGTTCTCTACTGCTATACTGTATATTAAATGTAGGAATCACAAGGCCACCAGTAGGATTAAAGCAAAGTCGGGGTGGGAAGGGGGTAGTTCTGATGTTTATGTCTTTGAAATGTGATGTTCATTATTAGATGTAGTTGCAGTTTCCTTGTGTTTACACACTGTGGACACAAATTACAATAGCCCGATTAAATTGTGTGATCTCAGTGGTTCATACCTATGTGGAACTTCACTAGACCACAGCTTGTAGTTGTGTGCTTCATGACCTGATTGTAAGGTGAGCTAGGTCACTTCCTGGTTTGCGTGTTTTTCAGTAAATGAATGGAAGGTGAGGCTTGTGACGTGTGGGGGCATCTCTTTAACCCCTTAAGGACACGTGACATGTCATGATTCCCCTTTATTCCAGAAGTTTGGTCCTTAAGGGGTTAACGGATTCCTTTGTGTAGTTACAACTTAGAATGTAAACATTGTGTTCACTGACCCTCCATCCAGCAGCTGTAAGATATACCTCCCATTTGGGTAAATGGGCTGCGCAAACATTCATTTCCTGCAGATTTTCAGTCCCGAGTGAGGTGTGATATATTGTAATGTGAATTCTGTCTGTGTACCATGTCCTATATTCACAACTGATTTCCAGTGATTTTCCTGGCCCAGTAAGACTGTCTTAGTGCTAAATAGCAAAGCAATGCCTAGAGCCTAGTGGCACATAAATAGCCAAATGTTGCAGTCCAGCTTTGAGTGAGTTGCACTTTGCTTTGAGTGTTGCAGTAAGTGTGCAAAGCCCCATTACCCAACTCAGAGAGACTATCTGTGCCGTGCCTACTTCCTCCTACTGTCACACTGCGGTGGCTTTCTGGCAGTTTTGTGGTGTTTGTGGGATCTTGAAACATAGTTAAAAAGGGAGGATTTTTTTCTTTATTTTCATAAAGCGCCAGCATGCCCTGAAGCAGATCTACTACCAATACTTAATAAACAAATGTAAAAAAATACAAAATCATGATTAACAATGTTTTATTATTTATTTTAAATGTTTTACGTTTTGTGCACAAGCAAAAACAAGGCCTTAAAGGGACTTTCCATGAATTATTTACCACATCTTTTTTGTTTTATACAGGGTGGGCCAAAATTCAGAGTATGGTTTGAGGCGTCAATTACTTTTTTTAATTGATTAACTACTTTCAATGATAATACATAAAATGAACGCTTAACATATGGAGATTTAAATGATTAGGTCTTTTAAATGAGCTCCATTTGCTACCTTGCAGTCGGGCCCTTTCGATTGCATTGTGAATAACATTAGTGAATAACATTAGTTAATGTTTGTAGTTCTGGCACTCAAATTTCTGCACTCCTCAAATATGCACAAGTTTTTTTTTTTAGTTACACCCACTCCTTCAGTTATCCCAACAAGAAATAATCTGGGGCTGAAAGGTTGGGCAAATGTGGCGGCCAATTAATCTGGGACATTGCTCAAAATAATGGACCTACCATTTTGAAAATAAAATTCCACTATTTTTAATTGATTCTTTGTGAAATTAGTTGTGATGAATCTTCTACTAACAAGTTATTTACTTGTCATATCCTACTCTGAATTTTGGCCCAGCCTGTACATGTTATCGAGTCAATGCTGCTCTACAGTTGTCCCCTGGCTTTGTTTACCGATATCCTCTTCAAACAGTAAATGATGGAGTATCCCAGCCAATCCTGACCATTCCATGGACTTATGTGAGAGCTGTACATTTCATGTAAACTCTCCAAGCTCAATTTACTTGTGTACTCTTCTTTTTTAATACAAATGTAAGCTCAAAATGTTTTTTTATTGCTTGTGCTTTTCCTCTCCTTGAATGAGGAAACACTGCCCTGGTGTTTATGGGAATTGTATAGTTGTTTATCACCCCTTTTCTGGTGGTTGTGGAGGACCAGGGGTGGTGCTGTAATGAGACATAGCCATGCCGTCACTTTAAACATACGCAGTAGTGCAGAGTAGGTGAAGAAATCCATTTGCTGACACTTGAAAGAACTACAAAGTAATATGTATGCTAACAAAAATCATTTTCTAGGGTGTGCCAGTGATGGCTTAATCCACATTTTACAGTTTGTATAGTTAGATAGTTAACAAAAAATTATATTTATTTCAAATCTGTATAGGAGAAACATGCGTGTCAGTGGGGATATATGTATCTAAAGATCTCTTCTTTATTTTTATATTTATGCCATTTTTAACATTTAAAGAAACTTCAATATAATATTTAATTATTCTTTATATTTAGCAATTTATGTTTTATATATCTGAATAATAAAATTAAACCGAAATCCACAAGTCTGTAACATTCTCTCTAACTGGGCTCCACCATCTTGGTTAATTTTAGGTAGAAAGTCACCCAGAATGGTTTGTGCTTGCTTTACTTTCTCACTTTTTTGTTTTGTTTTGTTTTGTTTTGCATGAGGATAACATAAATTGGCTTGCAATGCTCCAACAGCACATGCAAGTACAAGAAAAATCATAGTAAAATGGTTGGTCAGCATTGTGAGGAGATTGCACATTTTAAAAGTATAGATGTGTAGTAAGGTACATGTTAAGCATATCTGTCTACGTATAAAGAAATAAAGTAATGCAACTACATAGGATTATCAGGCAGAGTGAAACCACCAATTGCTTATTAACTGTGATCACTGGGTGTGAAAGCAATGTAAACTCAGAGCTAAACAAAAACCCCAGGCTGGGCAGGAGTATCAGCTTATAAATTATAAGCTTATTGAGCCGATGCCTATAGCACACAGACGAAGTCCAGGCTGGTATAACAGGTGACAGTAGCCTCCCTGGGTTCTGCGGTTTGCGGCAGCTCTCCATCTCCCAGGATCCCAAACCTCTCCTTTTGTAATGAGACAGGGTCCACGAAACTGCATGGGGGTATGATCTTCGCAGGATTCTCCTGGGTCTCCGTCTCTGGGGATGTTAACTGGCAAGAGCTTTGTGTGCAAGTGTGGTTGCTGTCTCCGTTTCTTCAAACTCCGCCAGAACCGCTGGCAAATTGCATCGAATTTCTTATAGAACTCTTCTTCCCAACTCAGCCCCATAGCTTGTGCAGCAAGCTTCGTGGCAGCCACGCTGTGTGCCATCTTAGGCAGGCCACAAAGGAGCGTGTTACGCCGGAGTGACCCAGGAGCTGCAGATATGTTAGTGGCTGGTCAGGTGGGGACCGGGATAACCTGCCGTCCCAGATAGGGGGAGTGCGGGGCTCTGATTATTCACAAAGAGAAAGGCTCGGGCCACCCCGGACGGAGAGATCGGCCACTTCCGTCGAACATACCCACTCCAAGGTTGCCCTAGGTATAACAGACGAGGGTACCAGTGTAGGCAAGTGCAGCAGGAAAGGATTTTAACCCTCTATTTCACTGTTAGAGCAGGAACAAGCAGGAGCCCAAGAACATTCTACTTTCTCAAATTTGTCAATTTTAAATTTATTATGTTTCCTCATGGGAAGCGCCCGGCGCCCGGCTGCCGGCCTTCCTCATCGCAAGCGTCTGGCTGCCAGTCTTCCTCATTTATAGCTGCTCATGTTTGCATGAACACATTACTTTTGGATAAGATGTTGATGAGAATGATTATTTTCAGAATGGAAGTTAATAGTATTTACATTTCACATGTATGGCTGCAGAGTTGGCTGCAAGGTGTATTCGCAGTAAAGGATTATGGTGTAGCAGAATGAGCCTCGTCCATTTGTTCTCCACCAATCTGCTGTGTAATGTTTAGCTGACCAGTTATTGAAATAGCTGAAGCCAGAGTGTTGGACTGCATAGAGGAGGATTTTGTTTAATGTTGTTATTGTAGTTTTTAGAGATGGGTCCTTAATATAATATGCTGTGGGGGATGATTGTGTGATATGCAAGTGAAAGATGGATGTCCTACAGGTGAGAGGTTTGTGCAGTGTTTGCATGCAGCTGGTAAGACATGGCGCAGTTTGTGTGGTGTGTTCGACGCAGGTCGGTGCAATGGCAACAAAGGTGGGTGCAGTGGGATTAATGTGCCACGCAGGTGGGTGCAGTGGGATTAATGTGCCACGCAGGTGGGTGCTGTCTGAGTGATGTGCCACGCAGTGGATACATCAAGATTAATGTTCCATGCAGATGGATGCTGGGAGATTAATGTGCCGCAGATGGGTGCTGCGAGATTAATGTGCCATGCATGTGGGTGCTGCGAGATTAATGTTCCACCCAGATGGGTGCAGTGTGTGATATGCCACGGAGGTGGGAGATGGGTGTATGGTAGTATTTATTGGGGGGGGGAGGGGGTGATTTATTGGTACCATGTGGCTTCTCCTTATTAAACACTGTGGGTTTCTAATTATATCTTTGAAACCTGTGCTTAGATGACTCTCTTGTTGGTTGCTGTGTGGATTCAACCTTTAAGTATATTTAACATGTACAATGCCAGAGGGTTGTTTTACTTACCATCTTCCTATTTCTACTACTGCTATTTATTATTATATGGATGTCCAAGGAGTAACAGACTTTAGGCCACAAAAACAGATGTTTTGGAAAGGTTCTGCCACTCAAATGTTTTCTTAACTTGGCTGCTTTACTTTGAATTTTGAGGAACACTCTTAACATTATAGGACGATTTTAAGGTTAAAAATAAATATATGCATTTTTAACATTCTGGCGCTCATTTCTTTTATTAGATTTAGTTATTGCCTTTTCAAATGTTTTTAAAAAAAAGTAATTTAAAAAAGCTATTAAACGCTGGTATTCCAGCATCTGACAGCGGCCCTCTGCTCTTGGTGCGATGTTGTTTGGTAATCGCGGTTCAATGTCGAGAAGCATTGGTGACCTACATCACATGCACAGTAGTTGCCCAGCTTCACCAATCAAATGCTTCTCATCGATCCAGTACGTCTCTCCAAAAAGTATTAATAGCGTTAACACCGAACGTTTAATACCTTTCATTTTACTGATCAGTAAGTAAACTTCAACTGAATTGCTCAGCAAGTTAATTGAAACAAAGAACGTCATTTGTTTTATTTTTTTTGATATAAAAGATGCTAGAGGGGCATTCTAAACCCCATAACACCTTCAAAGCTCAGTCTGCTGTCAGTGCTCCCATAGTAAATACATGGGACCTCATGCACCCGTGGTCCCCACACACTTTTCAGATATCACTAAAGTTGGAAGCTCCTATTTTCTCATGTTTGGTGGAAGCTCACACTCTTCGCCAAGTAATTCTGCAGAAATAGGGACAGAATGTGTATAGTATTATAAAGAGAATGGGGAAAGAGGACGCTTGGGGTCCAGGTTTGTTTCAAACCAATTGAAAATAGCAACTGTTGTGGTTGTGGTGCTCTGACTGCACCTTTACATGGATGCTATTGGCCTAGCCCTATATTTTGAGAATTGACATTTCAAGGGAGGGACCAATTTTATCATTTAGATTGTTAATGTATTTTTTTTTTTTATAATGTTTTTAGCACAATATAGATAAAATTGTCTAATATAAGTTTTGTATAAAATCGGAATATACCTGTGTTTTTGAGAACAATGCATTTTTTATAGCGTAGTGTAGTGTAGCGCCCCCCCCCTCACACTGCCAATGTAAGTATTTAAACTGTTCACTAATGGACGTGCTGCAAGAGTTATGGTGCTCGGAGTGTTCTTCCAAGAGACTCCTGTAAATATAGTCTGGCACTTCCTGTGTTTCAAAATAAAAATATATTTTAAAAACCCTAAATAAATATAAATTGTTTTGTGTGTGCTTCGGATGTCAGATGCATTTTTGTCTAATTGCCATTTATGCCACAGCCATGGCACACACTGCATTAAAGGAAGAGAACGTTTGACTTTTTTTCTAGCCTTTATGCTCTCTCTATGCTGACTGCCAAAAGCGGGAGAGGATGTATTAACAGTGACTGACAGGGGTGAAGGCGCCCAGTTTCAGGATAAAGAGATGATTGATTTCTGCATTTTGTTTTATTTTTTTCATGCCTCGCAAATCCACATTTTCAGTTGTAGGGAATATTAAAAACCGTGGGAAGTGGCAGTTCCCCTTTTAATTGCCATCCTAAATGCCAGTTTTACAAGTCCTTCCTCTTCTCGGTGACGAGCTGAATTGTGAAACAGCTTTGTGTCTGACAGGGGTTCATATGTTCCCTTTTGAGTCCCGCTGGAAGCTTGTTTGCAAGAATGTATTTTTGTACAAATATTTGAAGACTCTTTCCTCATTACTGTAATTGGGTGTTCCGCTTCTGTGGAAAGCAGTATGTTGTGCATTTAGCGATTTGTCCATAAACATTGATTAGCCCTTTCGATCCCAAAACAAACGATCTAGTTATCTCTATTTTTCCATCAGTTTAGTTTAAAGGAACACTATAGGGTCAGGAACACAAACATGTATTGCTGACCCTCTAGTGCAAGGGTAGGCAACTTTCGGCACTCCAGATGTTGTGGACTTCATCTCCCACAATGCTCTTACCGATATAATGCTGGCAAAGCATTATGGGAGGTGTAGTCCAAAACATCTGCAGTGCCGAAGGTTGCCTATCCCTGCTCTAATGTTTAAGATTAAACACAAACTTGTGTGTGTGTGTTATCTATTCTCAATTTTTAGAAAACTAGAACACAGGTTAGCGTCATGTGTGAGGGTCTTGAATGAATATATCTATCAAGGCAATAAAAGTCGCATTGTCCCTCCTGTCCTCTTACACTTGTGATTCAGTTTGTATTGTTTTCCTTTCATGAATTAAGTAAGCGTGGCAGCCCTTATCCATGGCTGTGCGAACTCTATCATAGAGCGCCCTTTATGGAAGAGGTCATACCTTTAGCAGACAGGTGACAAGCTCTCCGTCTTCCAAAGACTCAGCCGGAGTTTGCCAACGGAGTAATCCCCCTAATTAAAGGGATACTGAAGGCACCTAAACCACTACAGCATTCTCTGACCTGTATCCAATGGGTTACGTTGATATGAGAATGGGGAAATGTAAACTTACGTTTTATCAGACCACCTCAGAGTGGAAGGACTGTGCATGGCAAAGCATGGTAAGTGTCAAACCGTCCAGAAATGGTTTAAATGATCACCAACAGACAGAGGCCTGGGACTCCAGGCACCATAACTACAGTAGTGGTTATGGTGCTTAGTGTCTGTTTAACAGGATGATAAACCTGTCTCCTATTCTGGACCTCATGTTTGCTTTTATTTATTGGAGTAACTGTATAGATGGCTTATACTGACATCTATTGATTAACTTTCTTTGGAAATAAGTCTTTACTAGCAACTTTTCTTTACTTCTAGCTAGCTCTTCCAAAAATCAGACATCTGTAAAACCTAGGGACTAATTGTAAAACCAGTGCAGATTAATGAAAGCTAAAAACGTAATGTTTACAGGAATGGCTCGTTTGGACAGACGAGTGCCTCTGGTGGTCCCGATTCTGGGAAAGTATTGTGGAAACACTAGGATGTTTGTGTGGATCTGATGACAAGTTAGGCAGTGGCTGTGAGTTTGACCCGCTCCTCATTGCCGCTGTTTTATTTCAGCCATCAGAATGTGCTTACAGTGATCGCTGGGAGCTAGGAAAATCTGCCCTCGGTAGTCCCTGCTATGTACACAACTTTTTGGTAAAATAAACAAAGCATTTTTTTTTTCCTATTAATTTACTCTGTTCCCTGAAATTGTTCCAAAGTAATTTGTCTTATAAGATCACAGCAGTAAATGGCAGTCTACTTGATGTACCTTGTAAGATGTTATGACCCCTATGGACTCTGTTTGCCATGGCAAGTGGTATATGTGGTGCTCCTTGTGAATCAGAATATAGTTAGTAGTTATTGAACCCATCTCTTCTAAATAATTGTATATAGCTAGTAGCATATATCCAAAGAATACAGAAAAAACGTAAGTAAATCCAGTAATGAGGAAAAAATTAATAAAAGTCCAGTTATGGCTCCCAAAGAATTATCTTAAGTTGTCCACTCCATCACACGGATCCACAAATATGTAAAAGATAGGCGGAAAAAAAAGAAAAAGGGTATCAGTATACCATTAACTGAAGTATGATAGTTAAAAATACATTTTATTCCATCAATATTATAAAGTATATAATATTTTTTTTTCCTCCTATCTTTTACATATTTGTGGATCCGTGTGATGGAGTGGACAACTTAAGATAATTCTTTGGGAGCCATAACTGGACTTTTATTCATTTTTTCCTCATTACTGGATTTACTTACGTTTTTTCTGTATTCTTTGGATATATGCTACTAGCTATATACAATTATTTAGAAGAGAAGGGTTCAATAGTTATTTTGTGTTTTATTGTATAGGTTGTTAGGTTGCCTATTTTCATACCCTATTCTCATCTATCTTTATTCTCAATCAGCGCTCCACTATCAGCACTTTTTCTATAGTTAGTAGTTATTTGGTATCGTGGATGTGCTGCAGCTGCTGGAGACTGGAAGACCCTTACATTGTGAACATGTTGCGGCTGAGACCCTCACATTGTGGACATGTCACGTCTGCTGAGAGACCCTCACATTGTGGACTTGCTGTGATGGATATTGAGCAGCTCTGTAAGACCTGACTCGTATAATGAATCCATTCCAGGAATGTGTCGCCTCAGCTTTTACTGCTGACCGGAGCCTGGGACCTTAAACTGATACCTGCCTATGTCTGGCATGCTTTGCGTCAGCGGTTTCCAGGCTCTGGAGGTGGTAACTCAGGAAGCTGGCATGGTGCCAGCTTTAACCTATTCAATACCTTGTGCCTCAGGTCAGTGAATATTGCTTGGGGTGCACACTGTTATTTTCCTGCCAGACAGAGCCTGCCTCCGTATAAATATTTCCTGATTAGCACCATACATAGTTTTATTAAAGCGACATTGTAGGCACTGTAACTGTTTCATTTCATTGAAGTGGTTATAGTGTCTTGACTCCCCTGACAATGTTCTCACATTCAGCATTAAACCATTTTATAATTCTTTATTTTTGTTGTGCATATTATAGGTAACATCCGAACAGCTGCAGCGTAGTTTGATCAACATAAAACATTTGCATGGTTAAAACACACATAGCAATGATTGTCTTGCACTTTTTAATTGTTTGAGCGTGTATGAGTTAGTGTCTCAGGGATGGGTTGTAGAAGTGATTGTATGCGTGTAGTTTGAGATTGCTTGGTCTTTAATCTAGATCGGTATTAGGGATGTGTCAGGTCGGGCTGTTCAGTGTGGTGCTGTCCTATTGTATGTAGGAGGGTGAACTAGCCAGCCATAGGTGGTACCCCTTACCGTGGGGGCGGGGGGTGGGAGTGAGAGCTGGACGATGTGGAGCCATACAATCAGCGCTCCACTATCAGCACTTTTTCTATAGTTAGTAGTTATTTGGTATCGTGGAGCATTCACAATGCTTTCCTATGGACGCTGGCGTCTTCTCACTGTGATTTTCACAGTGAGAAGCGCAGAAGCCCTCTAGTGGCTGTCAATGAGACTAGAGACTGGATTAACCCTATTATAAACATAGCAGTTTCTCTGAAACTGCAATGTTTATAGAAAAAAGGGTTAATCCTAGCTGGACCTGGCACCCAGACCACTTCATTAAGCTGAAGTGGTCTCAGTGCTGTATGGGTCTCCATGCGGCTGGCCCTGTCCCCTCTTTTCCTCCTTGGCTGGTTTGATGAAGCCAATCCAATGCTTTCCCATAGGAATGCATTGGTTGGCTATTGTGCATGCGCAGCAAAACAGCGCCAATCAACATCTCCTAATTGAGATGCAATGAATCAATGCATCTCTATGAGGAAAGTTCAGTTGCCTGGAAACACCTATAGTAGCTGTCTGAGTGACTGCCACTAGAGGTGTTCCTTGACAACAATGTAAACATTGCCTTTTCACTGAAACGGCAGTCCTTACATTAAAAATCCTCCAGTGACATATTATGCGCACCAGAACAACTACATTAAACTGTAATTGTGCTGGTGACTATTATGTCCCTTTTAAAGGGACACTATATCCACCAAAAACAACTTTAGCTAAATGGAGTGGTTTTGATGTTTAGATCATGCCCCTGCAATCTCACTGCTCAATTCCATTTGGAAGTTAAATCCCTTTATTTATGCAGCCCTGGTCACAGACTTACACAGCCTTCCTAAACACTTCATGTAAAGAGATCTAATGTTTACAATTAGAATATATCTAATATTTACAATTTATTTATTGCAAAGTCTGTTTCCTGATCTCTTAAAGGACCACTATAGTGCCAGGAAAACATACTCGTTTTCCTGGCACTATAGTGCCCTGAGGGTACCCCCACCCTCAGGGACCCCCTCCCGCCCGGCTCTGGAAGGGGGAAAGGGGTTAAAACTTAGCTTTTTCCAGCGCTGGGCGGGGAGCTCTCCTCCTCCGATCCTCCTCTTCACCTCCCCCGATCCTCCTCTTCACCTCCCCGTCGGCTGAATGCACACGCTCGGCAAGAGCTGCGCGCGCATTCAGCCGGTCACATAGGAAAGCATTATCAATGCTTTCCTATGGACGCTTGCGTGCTCTCACTGTGATTTTCACAGTGAGAAGCACGCAAGCGCCTCTAGCGGCTGTCAATGAGACAGCCGCTAGAGGAAATAGGGGGAGGCTTAACCCATTCATAAACATATAGCAGTTTCTCTGAAACTGCTATGTTTATGAAAAAATGGGTTAACCCTAGCTGGACCAGGCACCCAGACCACCTCATTAAGCTGAAGTGGTCTGGGTGCTTAGAGTGGTCCTTTAATAGCCTGCTAGACCCTGCAGGAGCCGCTTGAGTGTGACCAAAGTTCACTTTGCAGAGCAGGGGTTAAAAACTTCTAAAGCACGTTAACATCTGAATGAAATTGAACTTTTTTTTTGCGGCTTTGTGAGTCAGAGCCAGGGGAGGTGTGGCTAGAGCTACATAAGCAGAGAATTTAGCAATGACGCCAGAGGGGTATGATCTAGGCACAGAAACGTTTTCATTAAAGGTACACTTTAGTAACCAAAACAACTTCATGTAAATTAATCTTATGGTGCTTGAAGGCACTCGAACAGTTTAACCCCTAAGTTGCATCCAGCCCCCCCACCCCCCCACACACTAATCTGTCTTGGAAAATGTAAATTTCTTGATGCAAGAGAGCCTCCAAGGGCCTCCTGGCACCATAACAACTTAATTAAGATGATGTTATTTTGGTGCCTGAAGTGTCCTTTTAAGCAAAAGTTGTTTTGATGCTAAGTAAAGGGCTTGGAAACACAGCCTCGGGGAAGTGCAGTTCACTCAATCAGTCTTATTGTCTGTCTTTGCAGTTCACTCAATATGTCTTTCTAGAACTCTGTGATACGGCCCTTCCTTTCACGATGGCTACAATAAGCCGCTGGCCTAGTGATTTCCCTGCCTTTAATTAAGCCTGGATTTAAATTTGATACGGTTATCCCTGTATGCCAAGCTAATTGATATATTCTGGATATTAAGATCATGTTGGAGCAAAGGATGACTGCTGAGACTTTATAAACTCAGCGACGTAAATTTGGGGAGATGATTTGCCTTTTAGCAATGAGAAGGATTTTTGGTATTGAAAACAAGGACTTGGAATTCACTGCCTAGGGAGCTAGTGTTGGCAGACACACACATTCCAGAAAGGAACTAACTAATAGAAGTCTGCACTCGTTAAGGAGTTTATGCTCTAACTAGTGAATTGCTTTGAAAACTGTGTTGGCAAAAATAAACGGACATTGGACAAAGGTTAAAGCGGCATTCCATGCTACTTTGCACCCCAAATTCCAGAGTGGGAACAATTCTATTTAATTATATATCAGATTTCAGCTTTACAGTTTTATGATTTTACGATAATTCACTATTTAGTGCATGAACTCGTAATCTAAAGACTGGTAGGATTTAAACCCAGATCATTTTGTTTGTTTAATTTGTTAGAAAGTAGCCATTCCCTATTAAGATGTTGAGATGCTACGGACTCATTTGCTTTCCTGGGGTTATTCTTGTTGTAAACAATCACTAAGATGTAAGGCGTCGAGTACGTGGCTGCAAAAATCTGACTTTTCGTTGTTTTAATGAGAGGCTTAGAGGGAACAGAGAGGTACAAGATTTCCAAAGTAATTCACAGGTGAAAAATTGGTACTCCTGTCTAGTGTGTATACCTTTTAATAAAAAAATTTAAGCCAGGCTCTCCCATTTAAAGTGACATGCTGTGCTAGAAGTAATCACTTTTTATGTAATTAGTGCTTTAAAATGTGCAAAGTAAAAATGAAATAAATTGTATACATCATTTTTTTTTTTTTTTTAAATAAAATTAAAAATAACGCTGCATTTTATTGAAGATGCTGCAGTTGTTACAAATTCTGGGAGACCGGAGCCCCGTCAATGCAGCTCCCCCCTATTGTTTGGGGTATATCTTTTTTAAATTCTGCCAGCAATGCATTATGGGATTTCCAAGTTCCAAGTAGCTGCATCAATGGGACACAGTCTGCAGCTGCCATAAAAGTACAACGGGTTTGAAGCATAACTTTTTGAGCTATAGTTCCAGCAAGGTTTTCTTTCTTTTGTATATTTGTTTTTACAAAGTCTGCAGTGATGTACAAAAATTTTCTGGAATAACCATAACCTGTGCGAGATGTATAGGAATGCCCATAATCTAAACTGTATTGTATTTGTTTTATTGCGCAATGGTTACAATGTGCCAGTGAGAACGTCACACTGCATGTTTGCATGCTATCCAGCCACAGACGGTTAACCTAAAGCCTGACTGTGCACAGTGGGGTATGTAGTCTTCTAATACCTATAATGCCAAGGTCAGCCGTGGCTCCGGTAATGGAAAGGGTTAAGCCGAATCATTAGAACATTCTTATTGTTGAAGGGAATATTCTTTTTCTTGGCATTACAGAGCAGCATTTTGGCTCTTCCACTAAGAGTAAATATTGAGGCTTGGAGAGGTGATCGCTCCTTGGTGCCTGTGCATTTTTGCAAAACACCATAACGATCGTCACTTTTCCATATTGTTTTTTGACTAAATCCTGTATGATTTTATTTTTCCTTTCTCTTTCAATCTCCCAGCACCTGCCCTTGTTTCCGAGAAAGGTAGGAGGCTTGGCTCCAGGCTAAATTCCTGTTAGCTCTTCATTCTATACAGATGTTTCTGCCAGGACAACTTTGTCATTCCTCCAAAATGTAAGAGGAAACCAGCCGAGTGCTGTTACCCTCGAGTCCCCAGAATTAGGTGGTTACACCGAGCTCCACATAGCCAAGCCTTTCTTGTGTTTTTGTACATATAGTCAATCAGTAATCAGAGATTCTGCAATCTTACTCCAGTTCATCTTTGGTCACTTCTATTTCAATGTGTCCTTTATGTGTCTTTTTCCTTGGACAATAAAGACTGTGTTACAGATATGTGGTTAACCCCTTCATTACCATTGCAAATGAGTGACCACTGGAACATGTGTTTTTGAGTTCTTGAAAGTAGTGTTTACATGTATTTGAGCGAATGGGGAGACTCACTGTATAACTGCAGTGATAATACACAATGTGTGGGGAGACAGGGACAGGGGATCTCCTAACACCATAACCTTATAGCTGCAGTTATAATACACTGTGTGCGGGGAGATATGAGACCTCCTTACACCATAACCTTATAGCTGCAGTTATAATACAGTGTGTACGGGGAGACAGGGGACCTCTTTACGCCATAACCTTATAGCTGCAGTTATAATACACTGTGTGCTGGGAGACGGGGACCTCCTTACACCATAACCTTATAGCTGCCGTTATAATACACTGTGTGCAGGGAGACAGGGGACCTCCTTACACCATAACCTTATAGCTGCAGTTATAATACACTGTGTGCGGGGAGACAGGGGACCTCCTTACACCATAACCTTATAGCTGCAGTTATAATACACTGTGTGCAGGAGACAGGGGACCTCCTTACACCATAACCTTATAGCTGCAGTTATAATACACTGTGTGCGGGGAGACAGGGGACCTCCTTACACCATAACCTTATAGCTGCCGTTATATTACACTGTGTGCAGGGAGACAGGGGACCTCCTTACAGCATAACCTTATAGCTGCAGTTATAATACACTGTGTGGGGAGACAGGGGACCTCCTTACCCTATAACCTAATAGCTCCAGTTATAATACACTGTGTGCGGGGAGGCAGGGGACCTCCTTACACCATAACCTTATAGCTGCTGTTATAATACACTGTGCAGGGAGACAGGGGACCTCCTTACACCATAACCTTATAGCTGCAGTTATAATACACTGTGTGCGGGGAGACAGGGGACCTCCTTACACCATAACCTTATAGCTGCAGTTATAATACACTATGTGCGGGGAGACAGGGGACCTTCTTACACCATAACCTTATAGCTGCAGTTATAATACACTGTGTGCTGGGAGACAGGGGACCTCCTTACACCATAACCTTATAGCTGCAGTTATAATACACTGTGTGCGGGGAGACAGGGGACCTCCTTACACCATAACCTTATAGCTGCAGTTATAATACACTGTGCGCGGGGAGACCGGGGAGCTCCTTACCACATAAGCTTATAGCTGCAGTTATAATACACTGTGTGTGGGGAGACAGGGTACTTCCTTAAAGCTGCAGTTATAATACACTGTGTGCGGAGAGAAAGGGGATCTCCTTACACCATAACCTTATAGCTGCAGTTATAATACACTGTGCGCGGGGAGACAGGGGACCCCCTTACACCATAACCTTATAGCTGCAGTTATAATACACTGTGTGCAGGGACTTCCTTACACTGTGTGCAGGAAGACAGGGGACCTCCTTACACCATAACCTTATAGCTGCAATTATAATACACTGTGTGCCTGGAGAAAGGGGACCTCCTTACACCATAACCTCATAGCTGCAGTTATAATACACTGTGTGCGGGGAGACAGGGGACCTCCTTTCACCATAACCTTATAGCTGCAGTTTAAATGTGTGGGGAATAAAACGATTAAACAACCACTCTGGCCTCACAACCACTTCTTCTCTATGAAGTGGTTATGTAGCCTGATGTCCTCAAGTGTTGATTGACATTACAGTGCTAAAGTCCTTTTAAACAGGTTTCCACCGGAGTGCTGTCCCTGGGCGCGGTCACCCTGCCTACTCATTATTTCCTTGGCTTTTTAGAAGTGGTGATTTGGGTGGTCAGTGATTTGTTGTTAAATCATTTGAAGACACAAATCCCCATACTTGTTCCTGGCAGAAGAAGTGTGTGTGTGTGTGTGTGTATATATATTTTTTTTTTTATTGCATTGAATCAATTCTTTCCTACGGGGACTTCCACGTCACGTGGCTGAGTTTTACTCTGTCAGGAAGACAGCCACTAGAAGTGGCTCTAATCATCCAATGTAGATTTTGCCGTTTCTTCTACATGACAGGGTTAAAAGGACTTTGAGATGAAGTTAGCTGGGTGAATTTAGTGGTTCTTTAACTTTACTCTACAACAGGCCAGCGGGCCGGATCCAGCCCGCCAGAGTCCTGAACTCGGCCCAAGCATTTAAGGCTACCCGATGGGCCCTATAACTGCAGGGACCCGGTCAGCGCTGCGGCCGTGCAATAGCGGGACAGTGCCCCTTTAGAAAATTGCAGCCGCAAAGTAGTGCTGGGAGATAGTGACGGCTGGTCACTTCCTCGTAGTTCACGGCAGGAGCGAAGAAAGACAGGCCGCGAGGATGGAAGATCCACGCCGACTCCCATCAGCCACCCTCCTGCAAAAAAAAAGGTAAGACAAATTAGCTGTGTGTGTGTGTCTATCTGTATGTATGTATGTATGTATGTATGTATGTATGTCTGTGTATCTTTCTGTGTATGTATATATGTCAGTATGTGTTTGTATGTATGTATGTCTGTCTGTATGTTTGTCAGTATATGTCTGTCTGTGTGTGTATGTATGTCTATGTATGTCTGTGTGTATGTATTTCAGTATGTATATCAGTCTGTGTGTTTGTATGTGTATGTATTTCAATATGTATGTCTGTGTGTATGTCTGTGTGTGTGTGTGTCAGTGTATGTCTGTCTGTCTGTCTATATCTGTGTGTTTCAGTGTGTATAGGAATTCGTTCAAATTTTTTCCAAACTATAGTCTGGCCCCCAACAGTGTCTGAGGGACAGTGAACTGGCCCCGTGTTTCAAAAGTTGAAGGACCCCTGCTCTGCATGATGTGACTTTTTTTTACTGTTACAATTTTTCGGCTATGCAGCATTTAGACTTTTTATGCAAATCCATCTCCTGCTAAGTTCCTTGTATTTGAAATGATGGGAGGTTAATTAGCATAAAAAATCATAATGCTGCATAGAATCTGATGTTTGACAGAACCGAATAGGTTTTATTAATTTTCTACAAATTGCTGTTTGTTTTCATTAATATGGTGGAGTGGACCTCTTGCCTTTAAATTGCGAAAAACTAAACACCATTTTTATCAGTCTGTCTTCTGTGCGCAGAAATAACATGTTCCTTGATCATCCAACGAAACTGGCCATTGCTGAGCCGATACTTTGTGCTCCAAAGCTGAGCTTGTCAACTTATATTTATCTAGTCTCTTTGCACAATAACCACTCTTGTACTTTATCCAACTGCGCACATCTCTGGCGCTTACAATGTTAAGGATCCGGCACCCTCTGCTGTGCCTGGTGGGGAAGTCAGTCTCTCTGTGCGTGTGAATGTGTGAGGAGAGTTGGAATGGTTGGACGTCACCAGTGAATGGTTCCCAGCTGCTGACAATGAGTAGAGGAGCAAGCAGCCAGCTCGATGGCCGTCCAGCTCCCCCTTCCAGGACTCGCACTGCTCGCAGCAAGGCGTCCAGCCGACCTCATCACGGATGGGAGTTTTGGCATCAGATAAAAGACAAATCAGATTTCCTTTCTGCCTTTAACAACGGGAGAAAAATGATGTTTTGGAGATGTAAACATCCCGTGAGTTAGGTAAACACGTTGCTGTAATCGCTTTAGGATGTGCACGTGGATAGCACAGGAGGCTTCGGGGGGGTTTGTACCCACTCCTGTTTTTGTGTAATGGGATGGGGCTGATTTACTCCCCTGTTTCTCATGTTTTGCGTTTGAACATATACTGCCTGCGTACCCAAAACAGCTGGATTTGGTGACTCATTGGGACATATATTTTTATTCATTCTATTCCCTGCCCCCAGTCCATCTCTATCTTTGTTTTATGACACTTGGCCCACTCCAGACATTTCTTCCTCGTGTATGTGGAATCTCACTCCATGCACTTGTCAAACTGTATTAAAAATGAGCAGTACCGTGTACCGATCGGGAACTCATAATAAACAGCAGGATAAATTTCCTGCATTGCAGCAGAGGGCGAAAAATGTTTGCAAAATGAGTCATTTTTACTCAGCTACAGCACTTACATGTACATTTAGTGAGTAACGATATAACTCCGCTATATACTTCAGGGCCAGCCGTGCCATGTACCCCATATCAGAGAGGATTGACCCTTAAAATGCTTTTTATGGGGCCTTGCATTGTCTCCTTTAGTTCCTCTGAAATACTGCTTCCCTTAGGGTTGAGAAAGTATATGGGCTAAGGTATAGTAGAGAAGGCCAGACGCTAGACCCCTGACTTGCAGCTTATTGAAAGGGTGGGCTACTAAAACCTCAGCAATGAAGGGGGAAAAAAGCATCCAAGTTTCTGGGAAAACAAATTTCACTACTTTATTCGTAGGATGTCTGCAGCTCCAATACTGCCCATTGAAGTCTTTGATGCAGTGCTGGCTTTCGGCAGGGTCACCGGAGATTTTTCTGGGTCACCCTGCACCTGGAGCCCCGATGCTCTCAGGAAATGACTCCAGAGCAGGGAATATGAGCCAAGAACAGTATCCCAGATGGCCGATTCATGCAGGTGCCTTGTTCATTAACAGCACTGGCTTCCCTTTTCCCCTAAGGTGCCTTAATTTCGGCAGCTGTGAGGGATTTGCTGGCAAGTCCCAGTGATTGAGAAAGTATTGTTGAGCTGATGATATTGTGTGGATCCCTGGACTGCGTGAAAGGGACAGCATTGGGAGGCAAAGACTGAATGCACAATCTGACCTTGGCTTCTGTCAATGAAGCCGAACACCCGGGGTAACGCTGGGATTTGTGTCCTGCGCAGAGTGGGTGAACTTTATTTTCTGTAATTGGTAGCGTGTGGTTTTATAAACATATTAGAGTGAAGAAGGGCTGCTATAAATGTTTTGCTCTTCGATAAGATTTGAACAAGATAAAACTCTGTCCTGCAGGCCACTCTGATCGGCTGGTACAGCCCACTGGTTTCCATGGCAACTGCTCCACTTTTACAACTTTGACACAATGCACCAACTGGAGTGCATGTTCACAAATCAGGATCACGGATTAGCTCTAATTCATGTTTCTGAGGTTGATAAAGTTGGTTCCATTGAGGTTGGCAGCTGATTAATAGTGTGCACTTAGCATCTGGAGTCCTCGTAGGAGAAATCACTATATAGATTGTCTTCTCTGTGATGTGAAATTTACCTTTAATCACTCACTTGTAACACGCTTTAGAAGAAGAGTAAAAAATACAGATTTGTTTTTACTGTAAAATATATAGAATGGCTACCTTTTATACTACATTTCTTCCTGTCCCCCTTCTGTAAAGCTGTGGTCTTTCATCTCTGACCCCTCTTTACACACTGTTTTTCTTTCCAGGCATTCGTTTCGAGGTCTTTGGGTGAGGCTGTGGGGTCCCCCAAACAAACATCAGAAAGTCTAACTCTTATGGGCTTTGTGCCTGGAGAGGTTACTGGTCCCTGTGTGCAGAATTTTATAGACCTGCGTTTAGCCAGGTGTTAAACACACTTATTATTACTAGGTATATTGAACTCCATATTGTTTAAAAGGAGGGGAAGACATTTTGTGTCTCAGTATTCCTATCTAGTACTTTGTCCTTAGGTGACTGTGTTAACATGGCTGTGCAACATTTTTATCTTTTCCTCTCTTGCACCTTAGCTGTGAAACAGTTTATTTATCTGAATCCTTTTAAAGGCTAACCGTTATCTGTCACTTTCACTGACTGTATATCAGCAGACATATTTAATTGCATACCTCCCAAGTGTCCCTATTTTGGGCTCAAATCCCTCTGTCCCTCTTTTGTAGGAGCTCAATATTTTTGGTGTGTCTCGAGTATTATTTCTGTGGAGCTCTGTTATACAGAGTAATGTCAGAGTGTATAACAGAGCTCCACAATAATAACACTCCCAGTAATGTGACTGTATAACAGAGCTCCACAGCAATATAATACTCCCAGTAATGTGTCTGAGTGTATAAAAGAGCTCCACAGCAATATAATACTCCCAGTAATGTGTCTGAGTGTATAACAGAGCTCCATGGCAATAATACTCCCAGTAATGTGTCTTTAAACTACAATAAATGTGTTGAGAAATCAGTCTGTGTAAATAAGATACATTGTTATAAGTTACATTTTAGTTCTAGAAATTATTAGCCAGTCAGAACAGCCCCGCTCCTGGCCACAGTGCTAAAATTAAAGTGTTCCTCTGTGCACTGCAAATGTTGGGAGTTGTGTAATAATTGTGTGATCTTACATTTTTTTTTTTTATGACAAGGCAAACCGAGACTTTCACTATCATCCTTTTGACTGGCATGTTGTGTCCATTCTTATTTCCAAGGATAATGTGTTTTGTGGTTCGGACTGTTTGTGGTGGTAGTGAGCATTACTTGCTATGGTGCAGTTTGAGGCTTGTTTTGGAAAGGTTTCTCCTGTAATCCCATGCTATAGACCAGGCAGTGCTGTCCCCCCTCCTACCCCCATGCTGATGAAATGCAACTCCCATTACTCTCTGGCCAGCTGTTGGGTGCCAGTGTTTGAGATCCTTGCTACAGATCCTTTAGACACCACAAGGATTTAAACAAAGTAATGTGTAAAGTAAAATCTCATGCTGTATGTATAGACCTCACAGTGGATGATAAACATAACCATATCCATTTATCTCTGCAATTGGCTGAGTGAGGGACGGTTCTTTTCCTTCGTGGCTAGTGGAGTGAGTGATTGTGACATTGTGTACAGAACGTATTCATCAAATTAAAGACTTAGCTCTGTGATTCTTCGAGGAGGGAATTCTTGCTGTTTAACCCTCCTCTGAGCTTTTCTGGGAAGAGGAGCCATGTTCTCCCTAATTCAGGCACCACATGTGGCTAGTCACATTCCCACGCTCCCAGTCAGCACAAGTGCCCTCACCTACAGCCGATTCCCTTCAGCCCCTGCAGTGGCTTCGCACGACCTTTCACGGCCCTTGGGGAAGCTGTGGATAAAATAAGAATCCGTTTCCTATTGCAAGTACAAATTTAGAAAGGCTGAGCCCCTGGTCGGACAAATCCGCACCTGGCATTTTTTTTTTGTAGAGATCTACAGGTGGCCCTCGGGGCCGGTCCCTGGACCACTCATTTGTTGCACTCACATTTAATGGAGCTGGGAAATTGTATGTATTGCTTGAGGAGCAGAATCGGCAACATGAAAGAAGCTCTCTATTATTGTAGTTGCCGTTATTCCGGTTATTTTTACATGTTCTTGAAATAAAACCTGATTCCGTATTTATTGTCATTAGTCCTATCACAATAAAATCTCCCGGAGTGCGCCCTCTAAGCAGCAGTAAAAGCAGATCTGTTACTTTCCCTATGTCCCACCTAAGTTATTGCCTTTTAAGCTTTAGCTGGAGGAGTAGTGTTGCGGGGGAAATATTATTTTGACTGCATTGAAATGTAAATTTATATAAAATTCCAATGCAGTCAATATAAGAGATTCTACCGTTCTGAAAAGTGTCAGCGTCATTAAGTGTGTAAGAATAAAAAGAAACCTTTACATTAAGCTTCATTTTGCGTAGTGTGTTTACATACAGATGTGTATTACACGTCTGCAGATGCAGCCAAATTGTGCTTCGGTTTATACGTTTATAAGCTGCCCAGCTCTGAGACATTCCAAGTGCGCCACTTGGTGGAAGATGGAAGAACTGCCCCTTCAAGCTGTTGCCTTTTTAGTTCTTTTGAAACTGTTGAATATTTTGAGCTAAGTTGGTTACTGTTTGTAATGGTGATAGACTGCATATGGTTTTGATTATGAAGTTTATTGGCGTTAAGGGGGGGGGGGAGTGATACATATAATTTTGCCTATGTGACGCAGGTTGGTGACAGAGCCTGAATTTGCCGAATGGAGAGAGACTAGTTTAGTGTATCATAGTCAAACTTAAATCCTTTACTGCTCCAAAGTAAAATACAATGAATTCCATAGGAATTGGGATAGATCGGCTGCCAATTGTCTTTGTTTTCTGTCAAATGAAAGAGAAAAATCTTTTGTTGTGTCTGAACGTGTACGGTTTGTGAATTAACATGTCTCTTACATGAGCTATTCCAGCTACATAAAGAACAGTGAGCATCAAACTGTCACATTGACCATAATAAACCACAGTAGGTATTTGAAGATAAAAAGCTATTTTTCATTTAGCGTTTTGTAAGTGTATCCCTTACATGGTAATCTCTGGTAATCTGTGCAACAAAACCCACTAATCAAGTGTTGGTTGAGACCTGAGAAATTGGGGCAAAAGCACACATAACTCTTTGACATGCTACTGGTTTAGGTGCTCTGTTAATGGGGGGAGCCCCTCTGGTAACATGTGACCTCTCGGCACATTTACAGTTCAAGGAAAAGGACTGATTCTCTGTGCGGACTTTTCTTCATTGGCCCACAGCCAATGTATGCAGTATAACAAACCCAGATATCCGGGTAAGAATCCTCCTAGAGAGAGCATGTGATGGAGAGGCCTGGGTAGCCAGGAGATCGGGCCTTCTGCTCCCCTTCTAGCCCTGCTAAACCATTAGAGAAAGATGGGCTACTAAGATTGGAATCCTCGTTACTAATTGCATTCCGTATGACCCTTCTTAGAACATGTGGTCCGTGCAGAACTGGTGTGTCACTCTTGCTGTGATTGTGGTCTATCAGTAGTGTTCAGTTTGTCTAACAATGTCCTTTCCCATTGTATATCAGACTGTGCCAAACCACTTGTTTAATAGAGACCAAAGCTTATTCTGAGCATTATCCTTCCCAACATATATTACAACATGCTGCAGTAGGAGACCCTTGTAGTTCTGTGATGATTGGCGTGCTATTATTTTGCTTAACTGTGAGCTAATTCACTCTATTTTTGTCTGCCCCATGCAATACAATGCCTTTCTAATAATTATAAATCTGTTTCGGAATCTATTTTGTATCAATGTAAACATAACATATGATGTGGTGTCACTCTGGACTCATGTCAGTAACCTGTTTTCTCTCTGTCACAGAGTGACCAGCAGCTGGACTGTGCCTTGGATCTGATGAGGCGTCTCCCTCCACAACAAATAGAGAAGAACCTTAGTGACCTCATTGACTTGGTAAGAGTTCCCCCTCACTGCTCCCCAATGGGCCCCAGTGCCCCCCTACCCATGCTTGCAGCATTAAATTTATTATTTTTTTTTAATTCTGGGAATTGGAGGAATGCAGAGCAACGTGCATTTAGTGATGCGTGAAAAGTCTATGTTCCATGTATTATCTCCTAATCCAAGCTGATTTGCCCTCATTAGCAAAGCAAGCCTCATCCCTGTCCAGTTCTTGGCGCCGCTGAGCTGCTAATTAGAACACATTACGAGTCCCGTCAGTCACCCTCACAGTGCGCCAGGGAGAAAGAAAAACGAAGCTAAGTCGCTCATTGATACATCATTCGTAGGAATCGGGAACCTTATCATCCTGGCAATCAACCAGAGGAACCAGACGTCCTGTATCCCAGCGGCGTCGAGCTTTATTTAATTCATTGTTTCAATTGCTGTCTCTGCCCATCTTAAATAATTACCTGTACAGCAGGTACTACACAATTTATCCCTCTAATGTACAAACACCCTATCTCTAAACCAAAATTATTTGCTATAGGTCTGACACAGAACTTCCCCATCATCCTTGACATTGCTAACACACTGCCCCGATACTCAGTGTATCTGCTACACATGTAGTAACTATTGCGTATTGTTAAACAGAGTTTACTAAATACATGCTGTTTATCCTTTGGCAGCCTTTAAAGGACCACTCGTTTTCCTAGCACTATAGTGTCCTGAGGGTGCCCCCACCCTCAGGGTCCCACTCCCGCCCGGCTCTGGAAGGGGGAAAGGGGTTAAAACTTACCTTTTTCCAGCGCTGGGCGGGGAGCTCTCCTCCTCTTCTCCTCCCCGTCGGCTGAATGCGCACGCGCGGCAAGAGCTGTGCGCGCATTCAGCCGGTCACATAGGAAAGTATTCATAATGCTTTCCTATGGACTCTTGCATGCACTCACTGTGAAAATCACAGTGAGAAGCACGCAAGCGCCTCTAGTGGCTGTCAATGAGACAGCCACTAGAGGAAATAGGGGAAGGCTTAACCCATTCATAAACATAGCAGTTTCTCTGAAACTGCTGTATTTTATGAAAAAAAATGAGTTAAAGGACACTCTAGGCACGGAACCACTTCAGTTTAATGGGGGTGGTCTGGAGTCACCAGGTCCTTCTAGGGTTAACCCATTTTTCATAATTATAGCAGTTTCAGAGAAACTGCTATGAGTATGAATGGGTTAAACCTTCCCTAATCTCTAGTAGCTTGTCTCGGTGACAGCCGCACAAACGGCAGCGATATAAATTTTCTGAAAACTGCCACTCCAGCGTCCATAGGCATTGTAAACTCTTTCTATCGCGACGAATGAATCTTGTAGCTCAGCATAACGGCGTGCGCATTCAGCGGCGGAATAGCAGGCCCGGAGAGGAGGAAAACTCTCCGGCCCGGCGCTGGAAAAAACAGTTTACCCCTCCCCTTTCAAACTTTGGCGAAAATCCCTGAAGTGAGAACTCAGGAACACCTAGTACTGAAACGGTATGTCCCTCAACTATATAGTGGTCCTTTAACCCTAGAAGGACCTGGCACCCAGACCACTTCATTAAGCTGAAGTGGTCTGGGTGCCTAGAGTGGTCCTTTAAAGATGGCATTCCTCAGATTATCTCAAACTCTGTGCAGGGTACAGTCCCCTCTGGTACCTGCATATATTATAGGGGTACAGCCCCCTCTGGTACCTGCATATATTATAGGGGTACAGTCCCCTCTGGTATTTCTATATATTATCTGGGTAGATTCACCCTCTGGTATCTCTATATATTATCAGGATACAGTCCTCTCTGGTACCTGTATATATGATAAGTGTACAGTCCCCTCTGGTACCAATTTGTATTATAGTGGCATCTCCCTGGCCTATTATTTCCAAGCTGTTGATGTACCCCCCCATTGCCCCCTCTTCCTCAGAGTGAGGCCATCAGGATAGTGTGCAGTTAGGTCTTTAAGGTGAGATTAGACTTGCTCCCGAATAGAGTCCTAAATGGTGTAGGAGGGGAGCCTAAATAATGAGTGTGGAAGAATGAAAGGAATTACTGAGAGCATGTCGTAACCTGATCCGCAGGCCTGATCTCCACTTCCCACCTGTCAGCCCGTGACCTGCTTGTTGTGTCCATTTCCCTCCTGGTTTGTATCCCAGCTGGCCACCTCTCCAGGTTTCTGGTTTCCCGGCAGACAAAGAGATCTAGTCTTGTATCTGGAGTTTGGAAGTGGTTAAGTTTAATTAAGTTTGTACTGATACCAGGCAGAGTGCTGGCGGGGGGAGCCATAGCTCCATTCTTGACAAGAGCAACCTTGTTCTACTGACTACTATCGGAATCTCATTAACTGCCTTCAATTTGTCTTATTTTTCTGTTCTCATTCTTAGAATGCCCCCTTAAGATTTCAAGCTTCCATTATATCCTCCCCTCTATTCCCCACACCACCACCACCATTACAAAAAAAACCCTTTTCTTCGTGCCTTCATTATAGCCTTGCTCACGTGATCCCCAGCCGGGGATTATCCTGTGCACTCAGAACACAATGTGTCCGTTAACGGTAACACCACATGACCACTCAGCTTCACCAAGATGTGAATTTAACCGCTGCACTGTGATCTCTAAATTAGGCATTAAATGGTGATTCAATGCTGGCACAACACAAGTGGAAGATTCTTCAAAATCCATTAATCATAGGAATAGGTTTTATTTTTTGGGAGGAAGTGTTTTTTTTTTGGTTGGTTTATTTGTTTTACATAGTCAGTGAAAGAAAGTCGCCTGATCCCCTATATTAAAAGTATGAGAGTCCCCAAAGGTATCATGATAAAAAATCTTTACTCTGCATTTTCATTCATGTTTCGACTCGTTATATCTTATGTGAGTGTGTCTAATGAAGTCTTTATAATCTGTATGCACTGTGCAGTGTATATATAATTATTGACGTATGGAACCAGGAAAGGTGCATCAGCCAGTTTATTGTACACATGACTTTATGCTTGAGGTCACATGTGCTTAGCGTGTTTTACGTTTGCATAGCATTTCATCACAGTATATTTGGGTGATTCTGGTGACTTTAGGGAATGCCCAGATAAAGCTACACATGGCACAGTTATTAATGCCTTTTTCTTCACAGGTGCCAAGCTTATGTGAAGATCTCTTGTCCTCTGTGGATCAGCCTCTGAAAATTGCACGAGACAAAGTGGTAGGAAAGGATTATTTGCTGTGTGATTACAACAGAGATGGCGACTCCTACAGGTGAGAATTACAAGTGCTGCAGATGGAAGCATTGAAGGAGAGCCTGAGCAATTCTCTTTATGATGGGATAACCTGTCCACCAGAGACTAATACAGCCCCTTTTTGGAGTGGTCTTTCTTCTACTTTAATAAATGATGCTGCCGCTCTGTGCAATCAGTGAAATTCATTAGACAATAACCCGGCTATGAACTGAATGGGGTCACCACCCCTCTGACAGAATCTTTATGAAATACTCATTTTGAATGTATTGGAATTTTACTGATATTCCAACCCAGTCAAGAGATATACTGAGACTACTTTGTCTCTGACACTTCTAGACACTGGGCGAAGCTACAACCTTCTAAAAGTGTTGATCCCCCAGCCGGGAATTGGCTTTGTCTGTGAAGGATCCTTCTGGATTCTCCATAGACTTGAGTGATGTAGTCTTGCACGTGCGCAAGTGTACAGCAATGGCATTGACTTCTGCCATGCCAGGAACTGAATAGGACCCACTGGAGGAAGATGGTAGTGTTCACGAGGGACAGGTAAACTCCCCTTTACCACGCAAAGACTCCAGACGGTGACGGTACCACTTTACTTTTTATATTATTAAAATGTTTCTTTTTAAAGGAACACTATAGGGTCAGGAACACAAACATGTATTTCTGACACTATAGTGTTTAACCCACCATTTAGGTGGCTTCCTCCCCCCGCCCCCCCAGCCCCTGTATAAAAGTTTGAAACTCACCTTATTTCCAGCGCTGCGCTGGTCCGCCGATGTGACATCAAAATGGCCGATTTTTAACCAATCCAATGCTTTCCTATAAGGAAAGCATTGGGTTGGCTAAAATCGGCACGGAAGCGGCACCAAGTGCCGTTTTGGCCAATCAGGACCTCCTCATAGAGGTGCATTGAATCAGTGCATCTCTATGAGGAAAATTCTGCGTCTCCATGCAGAGCGTGGGGACGCTGAACGTCAGGGCTGCTTTTTTGGCAGCACTGACCCACGAAGCACCTCCAGTGGCCATCTAAGGAGTGGCCACTTGGATGTGTCCCTATAAGCAATGTAAACACTGCCTTTTCTCGCAGTGTTTGCATGAAAAAAAAAAAGCCTATTATACTCACCAGAACAAATACATTAAGCTATAGTTGTTCTGGTGACTATAGTGTCCTTTAAGGTAACATACATTTGTGCAAATAGTAGTCATGAGAGCAAATTCTAAGATATCCATATGCTCTTTAGATAAAATGTCAGAATCTTTACAACATAAATAATTTGCTGCAGATTCAGATGTGCCACATGATATCCGAATCAGTACCTTGCCCGCAGTTTGTACAGAGATTTCTCTGCCCTGTTAAAGCTTCCTGATTCTCTCTCCTTTCTCAGGTCACCGTGGAGTAATAAGTATGATCCGCCCTTGGAAGATGGCGCCATGCCGTCTGCTCGTTTGCGGAAGCTGGAAGTGGAAGCCAACAACGCCTTTGATCAGTACAGAGACCTGTGAGTAATCCTTTCTGTGTATCTAGACGGTGCAGGGTTTTAGTGAAAAAGATGCGGGTGACACACTATCCTAAAGCAAGCTGTTTAGGTGGGTTGTTGATTGTATTCAGATCTTTAATTTACTTTGAGAAAACTAAAGAGGATCATGGTTTGGTGTCCTAATGAGGTAATTGCACAGCCTGCCCTGGTATTCTTTTCATCCTTTAAAGGTTAGGCAAGTATTCCATCGGCCACCAGAGCAGAATGTGAGTGTTCGATGAGGAGGAAGGATTGGGTCATGGTCTGGATCTGCTGCTCTGGTTTCCTTGGTAGATCACAACCTGTGACTGATTTGGTCCACAGTAAATGCATGGAACAGAAAATGTGTGGGGTGAGGTGCCTACACAACTTCCTCCTTCTTTCCCCTGAACTTTTTTTTATAAGAAGGATGCAGATTAATATAGTAAAGGTCCAAAATGTATGTATACAATGATAGAAGGGTCTGCTTCATCACTTACCTATAACATGATTGGAGTTTCCATTGATCTGTGAAATAATTGTACAAAATGACTTGCGCCTGTATTACCAGTGCCTCAAAAATAAGAGTTAAAACTATGTAACGGATTCCAACGCTGCTACATGTCGATGAGAGCTGATCTTAGTATGGTTATCCGGACCTTTATAGCAAAGTGACCAGATGAGCACAGTGATGGAGAGACGGTGCTTCTTTACAAATATCCCAGGATGTGAATACGCTATCTCTGGGTCTGTATTTAGAGGACAGGATGAGACTGATTCTGCTCGGTGTGAGCCTTGAGACAGACTGTCATGCTCATGTTTATTGCAGGGTTCTTCAGTTGTGTTCAGATTTACAGATGTTCACTTGGATATTCTCTTACATGGGAACTTGGCACTCAGACCTCGGAAGCAGCACCTGTGCAGTCCGATACATGCTCACTGTTTGCTGGCACTATTATGGGGCAACAAAGTAATTATGTGGTTAGGAGTAGCTGTGCCAAGCTGAGGTCGGTATTGACCTTCCCTGGCGGCTATTGCATGGAAACGGTGACCAGAGCACCGTGTGAGTTAGAGCATCAGTCAGACTCCCGTCGCTGTCTGTCTCCATGATAAAACGTTTATTGTCTTGAGTTAGCAGATGTCTGACATAGGCTTTCCTCTCTTGTGGTTTTAGGCTGCATTGTGAGCGATTTTCTTCCTCCTCTCTATTCGTCATAAACTACTATTTAGGGAATGGTTTTCACCTTTCTTCTCCAAGGAGGATGAATGATGTACTGAATGTAAAATGTCCCGGGTATCCCAGCTGCTCTCTCTGTATTAGAGCAGCTAATAGTGGAGCATAGCCCCGTCTGCAGGCAGCAAAGACAACATTGATATGGGCTGTCAGTACTGCTGTAATCTGTAATCCATGATCTAGCATAATATGTTAACATTGTACAACAAAGAAGTCTTGTGGAAACACATGTGCAACATGTCAGACACTGGCCTCGTCTCTGTAAACCAGGAGTAGGCAACCTTCGGCACTCCACATGTATCTCCCATGATGTTTTGCCAGCATTCTGGCTGTAAGAGCATTATGGGAGTTGTAGTCTACAGACTGCCAAAGGATGCCTACCTCGATCCCTCTGCCTCTCTCTCCCAGTGGCCTTGATCCCTCAGCCTCTCTCTATCCCCCGTGGCCTCGATCCCTCAGCCTCTCTCTTTCCCCCATGGCCTTGATCCCTCAGCCTCTCTCTTTCCCCCATGGCCTCCATTCCTTTGCCTTTCTCTTTCCCCCAGTGGCCTCCATTCCTTTGCCTTTCTCTTTCCCCCAGTGGCCTTCATTCCTTTGCCTCTCTCTTTCCCCCAGTGGCCTTCATTCAGTTGCCTCTCTCTTTCCCCCAGTGGCCTCCATTCCTCTGCCTCTCTCTTTCCCCCAGTGGCCTCCATTCCTCTGCCTCTCTCTTTCCCCCAGTGGCCTCCATTCCTCTGCCTCTCTCTTTCCCCCAGTGGCCTCGATTCCTCTGCGCCTCTCTTTCCCCCATGGCCTTGATTCCTCAGCCTCTCTTTCCCCCGTGGCCTCCATTCCTTTGCCTCTCTCTTTCTCCCCGTGGCCTCCATTCCTTTGCCTCTCTCTTTCCCCCAGTGGCCTCCATTCCTTTGCCTCTCTCTTTCCCCCCGTGGCCTCCATTCCTCTGCCTCTCTCTTTCCCCCAGTGGCCTCCATTCCTCTGCCTCTCTCTTTCCCCCAGTGGCCTCCATTCCTCTGCCTCTCTCTTTCCCCCAGTGGCCTCCATTCCTCTGCCTCTCTCTTTCCCCCAGTGGCCTCCATTCCTCTGCCTCTCTCTTTCCCCCAGTGGCCTCGATTCCTCTGCCCCTCTCTTTCCCCCAGTGGCCTCGATTCCTCTGCGCCTCTCTTTCCCCCAGTGGCCTCGATTCCTCTGCCTCTCTCTTTCCCCCAGTGGCCTCGATTCCTCTGCGCCTCTCTTTCCCCCAGTGGCCTCGATTCCTCTGCGCCTCTCTTTCCCCCAGTGGCCTCGATTCCTCTGCGCCTCTCTTTCCCCCAGTGGCTTCGATTCCTCTGCGCCTCTCTTTCCCCCAGTGGCCTCGATTCCTCTGCGCCTCTCTTTCCCCCAGTGGCCTCGATTCCTCTGCGCCTCTCTTTCCCCCACTGGCCTCGATTCCTCTGCGCCTCTCTTTCCCCCAGTGGCCTCGATTCCTCTGCGCCTCTCTTTCCCCCAGTGGCCTCGATTCCTCTGCCTCTCTCTTTCCCCCAGTGGCCTCGATTCCTCTGCGCCTCTCTTTCCCCCAGTGGCCTCGATTCCTCTGCGCCTCTCTTTCCCCCAGTGGCCTCGATTCCTCTGCGCCTCTCTTTCCCCAGTGGCCTCGATTCCTCTGGCCTCTCTTTCCCCCAGTGGCCTCGATTCCTCTGCGCCTCTCTTTCCCCCAGTGGCCTCGATTCCTCTGCGCCTCTCTTTCCCCCAGTGGCCTCGATTCCTCTGCGCCTCTCTTTCCCCCAGTGGCCTCGATTCCTCTGCGCCTCTCTTTCCCCCAGTGGCTTCGATTCCTCTGCGCCTCTCTTTCCCCCAGTGGCCTCGATTCCTCTGCGCCTCTCTTTCCCCCAGTGGCCTCGATTCCTCTGCGCCTCTCTACCCCAGTGGTCTTGATCCCTCTGCCTCTGTCTCCCCCCTCACCAACCACACTCCTTGCTTGCAATTATCCTTTACAAACAAGATCATGTTCGTATAATAAAATGTGTTTGTAATCCTATTGTACAGTGCTATTGATATTATACAGGCAAGTGAACCTAAATCAGGTTAATTGATCTGTTTACATAATACTGATAGACTGACAGCAGTGCAGAGTTAATAAATAATGGCTTGGATTTGATCCATTAACTCATTCATGACTGGAGATTGTATTATCCTGCTGATGTGGTGAAGGGAATTAAATTCTGCACGACTGTTCATTTTATCCATTAACCCATTCATGCTGGAGATGTCAGCGTGCATTGTTCCAGGCCTGAAGGAGTGTAAATGTTCCGTGCAGCTCCTGCCATGTGTTAGCTGTTAGGCCTGGCAGCTCTGCACCTCTCCAGGGCCTTTGTGTGGTTTCAAACATCATTTTAGCACATTCTTCAAATACCCACAAAAGCAGTTATGTAAAAACTCATCAGGCTCAACCACATCAAAACTAAAATGTTGTCCCCTTTCTGTCGGCCCCCTCCCCTTCCCCTAGGTCTGTTCGTTTGAAGTTGTTTTTAACGATGAAAAGCTGCTATTGTAGGTAGAAGAACGTCTTCCAGCTCGCCCTGATCTAACAGCATGTAATGCGTCCCTTGGCAAGCAGGGGGGAGGCGGAGGCAGCATAATGCCTCGGGCAATGCAGGCGGCTGTTCTTGCAAAATACTAAGGGGTTCATCCCTGTTTTCAGAATCCTGGGGAGCAGTGACTTCTATATTTGAAGAAAGAGAGGCAGCTGGCCTCTAACTCCGTCCTTCTCAAGTCAATTTTGGGGTCCAGCAAACACCCCAAAATTGGATGATATCACTTTAACTATTAAATGGTGACCCTTCAATTGTCCACACGGCTGTTCTTTAACCATATTGGGGCAACGTTTTCAAGGAACAACATATATAAAATGTCATGGCGTCCCTTCCTATAACTTTATACCCCCAGCAAGTTATCCCTAAAATAAAAGCCTAGAATGGTCTTTGGATTTGTCCTTAACTGAGCATTTCTTCTGCTGTGGGTTTTAGCCCATTAACTCTTTCAGTGCCATGAGTGTCATACACAGGGTCAAGGGATTTCTTTAATTAAAGTGGAAGCATCTATCTGTCTGAGGTGGATTTCACTTTCGGATGGTCAGTCTCTTTCCCTGATGTATGGTTAGCAGCCGCATATTATTGGTAGATTTCAAATGCCTTCTAACAAAGTATTTATATATTATTCAGTTTTATTCTCTTGGGGATACTGATAAAATCTGCACCCTTGGTTCTTTCGGAACTGTGTTGCGAAACCGTGATCCACCAACGTACCAACTTTTAAACAGAGTGAGCTGTGAGCGAGTGTAAATGCCATCACATCTGGCAGACTGACAAATACCAGTTTCTGAGAGGACTTTCAGGGAATATTGTCTGGTTTTAATAATTTCTGAAAGCATGTGCCTTGGTTGAGAGGTGTGGACCTGGTTTAGCTGCAAGCCACTCATTATTGGTTTGTTTTTGGCTGTGTTAATTCCCTGTTAATTGCTTTACTCCGGAAAGTAAAACCATTCCTTCCTCCAGGTATGACTGTATCCTATGGGCCCTGTTACAGCGCCAGCGACGCTCTTTAATACCGCGTCCGTATCCTGTGGGTGAGATGGTTCGCCTAATGTGTGAGGCCCAGTACATTATTAAGCCGGAGCAATTCAGATACAGATTAGTCTTGCTTATGCTAGTACATTAAAATATATTTTCCTTCTAATATAAATATTTCTACAGATTCCCCCTCCCCCCCATTGTAATATCAGGAGATGGTGTTTAGCTCCCCCATTGTAATATCAGGAGATGGTGTTTACCTCCCCCCATTGTAATATCAGGAGATGGTGTTTAGCCCCCCCCCATTGTAATATCAGGTGATGGTGTTTAGCCCCCCCATTGTAATATCAGGTGATGGTGTTTAGCTCCCCCATTGTAATATCAGGTGATGGTGTTTAGCTCCCCCCATTGTAATATCAGGTGATGGTGTTTAGCTCCCCCCATTGTAATATCAGGTGATGGTGTTTAGCTCCCCCATTGTAATATCAGGTGATGGTGTTTAGCTCCCCCCATTGTAATATCAGGTGATGGTGTTTAGCTCCCCATTGTAATATCAGATGGTGTTTAGCTCCCCATTGTAATATCAGGTGATGGTGTTTAGCTCCCCATTGTAATATCAGGTGATTGTAATATCAGGTGATGGTGTTTAGCCCCCATTGTAATATCAGGAGATGGTGTTTAGCTCCCCATTGTAATATCAGGTGATGGTGTTTAGCTCCCCCATTGTAATATCAGGAGATGGTGTTTAGCTCCCCCCATTGTAATATCAGGAGATGGTGTTTAGCTCCCCCCATTGTAATATCAGGTGATGGTGTTTAGCTCCCCCATTGTAATATCAGGTGATGGTGTTTAGCTCCCCCATTGTAATATCAGGAGATGGTGTTTAGCTCCCCCCATTGTAATATCAGGTGATGGTGTTTAGCTCCCCCCATTGTAATATCAGGTGATGGTGTTTAGCTCCCCCATTGTAATATCAGGAGGTGGTGTTTAGCCTCCCATTTAACCCCCCATTGTAATATCAGGAGATGGTGTTTAGGGGAAGTTGCAGAATACTCCATAGACATCAATCTTTAATTCTCCTATATGTGCAAGAGTACAACACGGACGTGGGCTCCTGGCAGATGTAACGCCACATGCTGAGAATGGCCAACCAGATTGAGATGGCGACGAGGGGCAGTTTTAGGTAGGTAAACCTACCTTCCAATGCACCCACGGCCCAGTGCACACCAAACGATTTACCATCGGGGTCTTTGCAGGATATGACTCCCAGAACGTGACAACGCTGCTTTAAGAATGACCATAAGATCTAACATTGAAAGCCTGCCATCCCCACCACCAACTGCTAGAAAAAGAGGGAAGCTCCTTACTAAACTACATAATGCCATGACGTTTGATCATTTACTGCTGGCTTTGTGTTGGCTTTTAAATCGAAACCCGAGTGTGCCAGTAGATGTTCTGTGAATCTGTCTGGCGGTCTGGGCCTTACTCTTTGAAAGAAATACACATTTTATTATTTTTTAATACTGATTTGCGCTCTCCCCTCAGGTACTTTGAAGGTGGCGTATCCTCTGTTTACCTCTGGGATCTGGACCATGGCTTTGCAGGAGTAATCCTTATTAAGAAAGCTGGGGACGGATCCAAGAAGATTAAGGGGTGTTGGGATTCGATTCATGTAGTGGAGGTTCAGGTAATGGCGGTTACTAAACTCCTCTCTGGGTACAAAACAGGGCAGCATCATCCCCCTCTGTCTCCACTTCTTCCAGGCTCGGGGGGGAAGGGAACTTCAAATTTGAAACTTGTTCAAGATTCGTTTTGGTGATTTGAGTATTTTTTTTTGGGGGGGGGGGTTTTCTCACCTCCTATGAGAAAATCTCTCATCTTAGCTTGCTAAAAAAATCTCCCTTTTCTTATAGGAGAAATCGAGTGGACGTACTGCACATTATAAACTGACCTCCACCGTCATGCTGTGGCTGCAGACAAACAAGACTGGATCTGGTACCATGAACCTGGGGGGAAGTCTGACCCGACAGGTATGCATCAATGCACAATCGTAACGTGGACAGAGTACAGGGCGGTCCTTGATTCTCCCTTCCCATCAGTATCTCCTCAATCCCATTGGGAATCAGCGGGCTGCATCCCTTTAATATATATTGCCTTACCCTGTAAATCATCTCACTGTTTCTAGATGGAGAAAGATGAAACTGTGAGTGACTCCTCCCCGCACATAGCAAACATCGGCCGGCTTGTAGAGGTAAGAGTTAGTTTTGGCCATCGTAGTCCCTGTAGACTTGTCATTTTCTCAGTGAGGTGCCATCTGCTGTCCTGTCATGTTAAGTGCATGTTTGTCTGCAAACGTCTGTGTGAAATCTCACTCGATCTTGTGTATTTCCTCTTGTAGCATAGGTTTGTTTCGTGTAGCTTTTTGTATTGTTCCATATGTCCGAGTGGATAATACACATCTAATCACAGATTTTGGCCTCTGTGTGTTTCTGACTGTTCCCACATCAGACAATGTTCTTTACTAGATAGTGTAGTTTGTTCTTGTCAGTATATTGCATGATAAATGTTCGTATTAACTCTGAATGCTCTTTTCATATGTGTAAATGAAAGTTTGTGACATAGTAATACCCCAGTTACATTGATAATACTGCCACGTGTTTATATTTGGATGTTTTCATTGTATCTTTGATCAATGTGATCTCACATATTTTTACATTTCAGGACATGGAGAACAAAATACGAAGCACTCTCAATGAGATCTACTTTGGAAAAACCAAGGATATAGTCAATGGACTAAGGTAATATGAGCTAGGCCAGCTCTGCACCAGTTTCCGTTACCACCCCTCGGATCTAGAATCCCAAAGTTGGAAGAGATGGAGTGACCAGCTCTACCAGTGACATGTTCTCTCCTTTCTCTTTCCTTGGGTCACTTTTGATCTAGCTTTTCTCCTTTGTCCGCTTTTCTCAGTAACAGCCATTGACTCTGTTATTTAATCTGATCCCTGACTCCTTTCCTCTCTCTACTTCTTTACTTGGCCTCCGAACTCCTCTCTGTAGATCAATAGATGCTCTCCCTGACAACATTAAGTATAGACAACTGCAGAGAGAGCTCTCTCAGGTGCTGACACAACGCCAGATCCTCCTGCAGCCCGATAACTAGTCCAGGTACCCACTGCCCGTGCGTGCCAATCTTTCACCATTTTCCGATGACGGCTGATGTTCTGCGCATGATTTGCGAGTGGGGACCTTTCACACAGTGCTGCATCGTGCATGGCTCGGTAGCACTGTGTCCAGATAGCCAGCAGCACTGCCTCCGTTACCTGGCGCATGCAGTTTGTGTTTTTCCACCTAAGCAGCTGAAAAATGTGTGCTGAATTAAGGCGAGAGATCTTTGGCATGTGTTGATAGCAGGCCAGGGGGTGAACGTACTATGTCATTTGCAGAAGACAGTGTTCTTGGTTGCTATAGCTATCTTTAAAGTTTGAGACAAACAGAGACCAAGGGGGGAAGCCATTAAATTCTCCATAAACAGATTTACTGCCTGAGGGATCTCGAGTTTTCTTATCTGGCATCGGTCTTTTTCCCAGCAGGTGAGCGACCTGAACTCTTTGCATTGTCTCATTCCATTTTCCAGGGAGGTCGCTGTTGGGTGGTACAGTGGGGATGGCTGGGTGCATGGAGTGAGGTCTAACCCCGCACTCTGCGTGCTCCTGGTAAAGCATGTTTTTGTGACTAACATTCATATGGGGGTAGGATTAACTGTTCCATGGAGAAGCAGGCTGTCTTCAAGGATAAGGGGTGGCCGACTCCAGATTTTGAGGGCTACAGGCAGCCCAGGATTTCTACGTATTCCTGCTTTAGAGTAGGTGAATCCATTAAAAGGTTGATGCGGGTTAAGTCACCTGTGATTTATCAGGAATTCTGAGAAAACCTTAAGGTAAGGAATTTGATAAACATGAGATTGAGAGTGGGATTAGATGGAGCATTGCATTTCTCATAAACTGTTTATGTACATGCAAGTCTATGAGTAACCTTACATTATCTACATATAAAAATAACAAGCCCTCCCTATGCCATCAGCTATACCGTGTTAATCAGATCATCAGATTAACACAAGGTATTATGGGATACTGGGATGTAATAGGAAGGCTATGCCGTATTTATTGAGAATAAGATCACGTGAAAGTTTGTGGTGAATGGGTTCTGATAATATCGTGTGGTGACAGTGTCCAAGTGAAAGGCCTGTTTTACTTCATTGAAGATCCATCTTTAAGGAATGTAAGAAGCTATTTCAAATTTCTTTATCTTCCAGTAAGATCTCTATAAGATATATATTACTAAATTAAATAATAAAATCTGCAGTTTTTAATGATCTAGGAATAAGATGAATTTACTTTATGTGGTCAGATTCAAATTGTGCACATGAAGGGAGTCTGGTACATTAGTATGTCAGTACTATAATAAAATAAAGGCAGCATGCTTTCGGTATATCCGGGCTACGCCGCTTGTTCGGAAGTGACTCCTTTTGTGTGATCGCAGTTTAAAAGAACATATTTAAAGTTATTCAATGAATTGATGAGTTTCCATGCTCCGGGCAGGTGTCAGTAGATCAGCAAGGATTGTTTATTCTGACACCGTGATTGTCCCCAGATCATAGTTCAATCGTAACGGTCTTTTGTTTTTGTTCCTTCTTCCAGGTCTGTCCAGACATTTGCCGACAAATCAAAACAGGACGCTTTGAAGAATGATTTAGTGGAGGCTCTGAAGAGAAAGCAGCAAAGTTAAATGTCCCCCAAACATGCACTCATTTAATTTCTTATAAGATCTTTCTCTTCTCCCCTCACCCTTCCCCAAATATTTTTTTTTTGTCATTAAGTCGGTCTGCGTCACCAACATAGCCATTCGAAGCATTTTGCTCATATTAAATAAAGCTATAAAAACCATAGAGTCTGGGGTTTATTTACTCCCCACATCACCCTCCTTGCACCAGCCTCACTTTTTGTGCTAATCGAGCCCTTCCTGGGCTCATGTTCGGCCCCCTTGTCTCTCTGTACTGCACATACTGTTTAACTCTTTCAACGGCAGTGGGATTGATACGTCTGCCAGCATTGCACGCCGGCTGAGGTTGCTCCGTTTGGATTGTTGAAGGACAGTTCATTTATTTGGAGGGTGGAAGGGAAAAAAAGTACTTTTGGGGTTTTCTTTATTTTTGTTTAGATTTTGACCCTCAATATCCCCTTTTTCTTGCATTTTTTTATTCCCTTGCTTTTTTTTTCCTGGTGATTGTCTGGGGAATGCTTAGGGTTTAGTTTTTTGTTTTTGTTTTGTTATATATATATATTTTGTAAAGCTTTGTCTTCAATAAGAGCCTTCCTGTACTAACAATAAAATGATTCTAAATACATGGACTGCACTGTCTGCTGCTGCATATATGGCGAGGGGTCTCCGTGGCGCTGCCCAAAACAAAAGGTTCATTTTAACAGGAGAGTTTAATGAATCCCAGCTTCCCATGGATTAGTGCACAAAGCAGTCGAAGTGTTTCACCCACCCAGGCTGAGGACTTTCAAACTCGCTCTCTTACTGTAAACCAGCGATTGCTAACATTTGGCACTCAGAGAGCTGTACTCCAGAACAGCTAGAGCACCAAAGCCCGAGCCACAAGTACCATGCGAGATATGTCACTAAACATCTTACGGTCTCAAACCTCTCAAAGTTGGCTGTACTCCTCTTCTGGTTCATACTGGTGATGAAGAATTAATACAGTAATATTTCAGGTGTATTATGGTATGTAGTATATCTGTCCCTGCTTTCTGTCCTATTGGGAGTTTTAGTGAAACCAATTTGAACTCGTGGAACGGAAGGTGTCATAGATATATTTTAGGACCAATATGAAAAGCTTTCAATCACAGTGAAATGTTGGTAAATGGTTTACCAACCTACACAAGGTTTTTGTTTTAATTATCCCATCGTGTCCTACTTAAAGGACCTCTGAAGGCACCCAATGACGTGGCCCTTTTAGTTTTAACCTTGCCATGTAAAACATTGCCAGTAAGTAGATACAGCAATGTTATGATAACATGGTTAATACATGGTTAATAGCCCTCCAGACAAACTGTTCTTAATTAAATGCTGCTCATAGAAAGGATTTTATTGTTCTTTTGCAGATGGGGAGGGGGGTGGAACACTCCAAAACCGTTTGTAGGACACTAACTTTCAGAGTGCTGGTCTTCACCCATTAGGGACATATTATTTGCCTGAGTCTGTGTGTAGAGTGGTTTTGAGCACACCATAGGGCAGGGAATGTTTGTTGGTTCCATTTCCAGAAATGCCACCCGGTTCTTTGCAAGTAGTTATAAGCAGAATATCTGTGTGATGGGCCCTATCTGAAATATCACAAGATAAAGGCTTACTGTAAAATGTTTACATCACGCTAACCCCCTAACATTTCTCTAGAGAATTAAATGGTGTAAATTTGACTTCCCTCTACAGAACTCCATTCATACATTGCTAGTTTTATTCATACTGATTCATTTGTAATAAATACTTATTTATTTTTTGATAGTGAATTGGTTAATAACAGACATAGCTGTTCACTCAGCACAGAATGAGATGGCAATGCAAACAAATTGAATAACTCGGCTAAAAGGGGGGGCGATAGGAGAAAATGGGTGATATTGAATTCCTGGACACTGTAGATAAAGTGGAAACAGCATTTTTTTTCACTATGAAGTAAATATTTTAAAAAAGTGTAATAAAGCTGTGCGGATAGTTTCAATCCCTCCGATTGTAAAGGGGTTTGTGGTTTAAATAGATATGTTCTTGTCTGTTCGTGAGTGGACTGTTTCACAGAGGAGATACATTATTATTTCTTGTTGTATAGAGGAGAAATCTCACAGCGGGTTTAATCTCATTTACTGAGACCGCGATGAAGGTTAGATATACTGTTACACTGAGAGATATCAAACGTAGAATGTGACGGCAGATAAGAACCATTCAGTCCTTTTAATCTGCCCAATTTTCTAAATACTTTCATTAGTCCCTGGCCTTATCTTAGTTAGGATAGCTTTATGTGTATCCCACTTAAACTCCCTCACTGTGTTAACCTCTACCACGTCAGCTGGAAGGCTATTCCATGCATCCACTACCCTCTCAGTAAAGTAATACTTCCTGATATTATTTTTAAACCTTTGCCCCTCTAATTTAAGACTATGTTCTCTTGTTGTGGTAGTTTTTCTTCTTTTAAATATAGTCTCCTCCTCTACTGTGTTGATTCCCTTTATGTATTTAAATGTTTCTATCATATCCCCCCGTCTCGTCTTTCCGCCAAGCTATACATGTTAAGATCCTTTAACCTTTCCTGGTAAGTTTTATCCTGCAATCCATGAACCAGTTTAGTAGCCCTTCTCTGAACCCTCTCTAATGTATCAATATCCTTCTGAAGATACGGTCTCCAGTACTGCGTACAATACTGCAAGTGAGGTCTAACCAGTGTTCTGTACAATGGCATGAGCACTTCCCTCTTTCTACTGCTAATACCTCTCCCTATTACAACCAAGCATTCTGCTAGCATTTCCTGCTGCTCTATTACATTGTCTGCCTACCTTTAAGTCATCTGAAATAATTACCCCTAAATCCCTTTCCTCAGATGTTGAGGTAAGGACTCATCAAATATTCTGTACCATTTGGCTTATCCCTCCTGTAACATTAACCCTGTTGCAAATCTTTGTATTATCAGCAAAAAAGACATACCTTACCATCAAGACCTTCTGCAATATCACTAATACAAATATTGATTGATTGATTATAAGAGAATGGATCAGAGTACAGATCCCTGAGGTACCCCACTGGTAACTAGACCTTCTGCAATATCACTAATAAAAATGTAAGAGAATATATTCAGTCCAGGGTGAGATGCTAATGAAGTGATTCTATTACATGAATGGCAAGATTACAGCCTACAAGGATAAGTAATCAAACAGTATTGTCAATGGTTTGCCAATTTACCTGGGGTCTGCTGGTCATCTTTGCCCCCCAGAAGCTCCTGTAGTGAGCTAGCTTGGCCGTGCGGGGTCTAGAACATGGGCTCCGAGCTTCTAGCTTTCTCGGTCAATGACCTGAACATGCGTGGCAGGCCACAGCTTAGTGCAGCTCCTGAGGAAGCAGTGCACGGTGAACCCCATGTAAATTGTTTAGCCATTCTCCAATGCTTTCACTACACTTCTGGCACCATAACCGCTATAGCAAGCTGTAATGGTGCATAAAGTGTTAACGTTAAAATAACCAAGTTTTCGGTGGTCGGAGCTCCACCTCCTCCAACATTACTCGACAGAGGATGCTAGTGCGCATTACGCCCTCCATACAGGAAAGCACTGCTCCAATGCTTTCCTATTGGGATTTCACTGTTGCTAGATGTTCTCATGCAGAGTGTGAGGATGCCCAGCGACAGGCGACCAAAAGAGTAGCCACCAGAAAGTGCCTCTTGTGGCTGTCCTAATCCTGCAATATAATTATTGCACTTTGTCAGAAACTCCAATAATTTACTATTGCAGGGTTGAGAGGACAGGGTCACTGAACCCAGACCACTTCAATAAAATTAAAGTGGTCTTGGTGCCTCTAGTGTCCCTTTAATTTTCTGCAATTCTGAGTCTAGTAAACCTCTGAATGTGACTATTCTACAAAACAACTCATTCTATAATAAGATGTTAGAACCAGAAGCTCTCAGAGAGCTACTGCAACCTGGATATTGTTGCCTGAGCTGTATTTAACTCCACATTGCAATAACCGTATTTAAAGTTAATCTGCGGAGTGTCAGCAGGGCAGACATTTTACAAACATATTGGCAAGTTGTGTAGCCATAACCGATCTCTGCAGCCATTCTGCCGGTCTCCATGCTGGAGCTACATTCTACTGCATCTGACAATCTTAAGATATATTGGCTGCCTAAAGTAGTGGCCACGACACCTACCGATATATATCCGCCTTCATCAAATCCTCAGACTGTAAGCATGTTTGAGCAGGGCCTTAACTCTGAATATTCCCTTTGTGTAATTGTAGAGTATCGCTATGATAAAGATTAGCTAGCTATGGATTTATATAGTAAACAAACCGTGCTGATCCAGCAAGTGACCTGTGTATTTATCTCTCTGTTAGCAAGAGGTTGGCCTGCGCACTCCCTATTCCTGCTGGAAGAAAAGGTAGTGCTGGACATTCAGCTGGGACCATATCGAGTCTGGTTCTGAAAGGAATTCCCATGAAATGCCAGATACACAGTATCTCATCCTGGGACACAGGGACATCCCATCCAGTCCAATAATGTAGAGTTTCATGGGCCATGCGGGAAGAATTAGAGAAAATTTATGACAAACTTACCGTAATTTTCTTTTCCTGGCTATTTCTCATGGCAGCATCACTTATGGGTAGCTCCTCCCTTAGCAGTCACAGGAAAGGAATTAATTAGACTGATAGGTATAAGGAGTCCCTCCTCCCCTACACCTCAGTCCAATTATAAAGCTGAAATAAAGAATGGGCGGGAACCCTGATGCTGCCATGAGAAATAGCCAGGAAAAGAAAATTACGGTAAGTTTGTCATAAATTTTCTCTATTCCTGGCTAATCATGGCAGCATCACTTATGGGTAATACCCAAGCTTCACAGAAAAATTAGGGTGGGAAGAATAATCCAAGAAATTACACAAAACTGAAACACCTGTAGCAAAGAAAAGTTTAATATCAACGGGATAAAGAGACCGTAGACAAGACACTCTTTCCAAAGGAGGTGGAAGGAGAC